CGATTTAAATGAATCTTCGAAATTGAATAACCAGGTCTACTTTAATTAGTGTAAGTAATTATGTTTCAAAAAAATCAATGAGAATAAACGTAAGAAAAAAAAATGTCAAAAGTAGATACAGTAGAGTTTATCAGTTTCATAGGTTTCATAGACATAGATATATAAGAAAATAATGTTGACAGCACAATAAATTACTCTTCAATAAGCTGTACATTTAGTTTACAGCAGTAATTTTATAGTTGGTAATGAAGACGATGCATACAACGCCTTCGTTCAAGTTGACCAACTTTTTACAAATTTGTGTGAGCGCGCATGTATACATTTGATTAAAACAATTCAAATGTTGATGTTTTTTTGGATATCAAGAGGGCTTATTTATTTTTTTTTCTTTCAAGAAAACTTTACTTTTGAAAAAAAAAAATTGCAATTCTCACAAAATATTTTCTTCAAATATTAACATTACCGCAAAGAGCTTTCGCCTGGGTCTAAGCACGGATTAAAACACAACTACAACGCTATTCCACACGCATTTCGCCCTTTCACCGGAAGTAATTTCGATCGTGCAGGAAGTCTTCTATCCATTCGCGCAGACCCGGAAGTCAGGGTTAGACCTGCGCGAGCGTGCCTCTACTACGCATGCGTTTCGGTCCCACTTAGTCTATTTCCGGATGAACTGGAATGGACATTTCCGGTGAGGTTCTCAGACATTCTACTTTCGCTTTCTCAGCCTGGCGTCGATTCCATTAGGGGGCACAAAAGCGCGGGCTAGTAGGGACCCAGGACCGGAAGAGGAATGCTGTTAAGACCTTCTGACCTCTCAAAAATATTTCCCTACCCTCGATTTGGCCCATCCATTTTGGTTTCGGTTCTTGGTCTTCGTAGCCTGGCATTGGAGCCGGGGCTGAAAATAGAACGCGAATATAATTTATGAAGAGGAAAAGAAAATAGACACGCATTAAGAAATTATGGGTTAAACATATTTATTACTCAATATTTATGTACATGGAGTATAATGTATAAATTCTTAGCATAATTCATTTCAAATTATGGCCATTAAATTCTGGAACCGCTGCTATAATTTTAGTGCCCCCCCCCCCCCCCCCAGTGTTTCTTCCAGACTTTTTTCTCCGGGGTGGGGGGGGGGAGGTACTATTTTCGAGGGGTGGGGGCTGTCTACATTTTCCGGGGGGGGGGGGGCGGACCCTAGTAGAAGTATATGTTTACTATATAAATTCCATCTCGTTCTTGTTCGAAGAGATGCATGGAAGAAACTCTGGTGCCCCCACGACCCATAATGAGCTTAAAACAATAACGATAATAAAATATAAAATACATTAGCCTATATTATTCGTAATCTAACAATAAACCAAATTATTAAGTGAAGGGATAACTCCGTGGAAGAAATCTTTTAAGTAAAATAGGACTTATCGGCCCTTGTGATCACACATCACAGCCGTACATAAATGCAATTCGAATTCGTGGTGAATATTCACCCGCCACCCCAGGGGGAGCAGGCTAGGAGAGGGGCACGATTCGATCGACAAGGGACGCCACTCACGGTGTCAAACAATGAACAGATGTCTTGAATAAATTTAGTGTTGCCTCCCCTGTCGGGTGTAATGTAATTTTGGATGCCGACATCGGAGCTTCCGGGAATCGTGGAGTCCGAGTTTGATGAAAATGTGGAGGAAAAGACGAGGGGAAGAATAAAAAATGTGAGGGAAAGAAAATGTTTAAGAGGGGTCAAGAAAAAAAAAATGGAAGTATTAGAAATTTTTTAGATTAAATTTAACGGTGGAGATTTATTGAAATGTCCGATTTGGTTAGGTAATATATTTAAACAACGACGTATTTTGAAAAGGGGTTGTGATTTGAAACCTCGGATGTGATGTTTAGAAACATAGGTTTACGCTAGAAGTAGAATGTTAATGACACGATTGTGCTTGACCCAGGGGGTGGCTTTAGGCTGGGGCAGCACTGTCCAGCCTTCAGACGGCCCGTGGGGTGGGGCAGTGAAGAATCAATGGGAACCCTAACCAGCTATAATTAGGGGCCCATGAGTTTTGGGGCTCGCGATTTTAGGGGAAATCGAATTTAGGGGCCCTATGGATTTAGGACCCGCGATTTTAGGGGAAATCGAAATTAGGGGCCCTATGGTTTAGGACCCGTGATTTTAGGGCCATCGAATTTAGGGGCCCTATGGATTTAGGACCCGTGATTCTAAGGGCCATCGAATTTAGGGGCCCTATGGATTTAGGACCCGCGATTTTAGGGGCCATCGAATTTAGGGGCCCTATGGTTTAGGACCCGTGATTTTAAGGGCCATCGAATTTGGGGGCCCTATGGATTTAGGACCCGCGATTTTAGGGGCCATCGAATTTAGGGCCCCTATGGATTTAGGACCCGTAATTTTAGGGTCCATCCAATTTAGGGGTCTAAGGAATTAGGACCAGCGATTTTAGGGGAAATTGAATTTAGGGGCCTTGTGTCTAGGGTCCCGCAGGTTTAGAAGTCCTTTGGTTGTGGGGGCCAGCAATTTTAGGGCCCATTAGGTTTGTATTGAGGGCCTGTATTTTTAGAAGCATCAAATAATTTTTGCTTAACAAACGACGACATCAATTTCTCTAATCCTGGGTTTGTTTCATTGTAAAGGTAGGGTAAAGTGAAGAGCGAACAATTTTTCAGGGGACATATTATTGGGAGGGAGATGGGCTCATAAAAATAAACATATCTAGCGAGCCTTATTTTAAGGAATGAATTAAATGTACCTAAAAGAAATTTTTTTAAAGTCTAATTTGTGAGAGCCGTGTACACTAAATAACCTCGGCGCCTGGGAAGAAACAAGCTAAAATAAGATATCATATTGGAGCTGTCTTCCCCCCCCCCCACGGAAACCATGCTGTGCTGTGACGCTGTACCACGTGATGCCCTCCCCATGTGACGTCTAGACCGACCAATACAAGTCTGTCCATTATTTCATTGCGGTGGATGAAAGGCTACACCCAGAGTCTGGTCACTTACTGTCCAAAGTTTTCCATGTAAGAAATGGTGTATGAAACGAATTATCTCCCTTGGTGGTCGTTATATACTACTGAGCTCACAGCACCCTACATTTATCTAGTAAGCATTACTATGTGGGACGGCGTGGTCGACATGTAGTTCTTATGTCTGCTAACCCGAAAATCACGAGTTCGAATCCCGGGTCTGTAGGACGTACATTAGTCCACCCAGCTCTGGGTATAGTGCAGACTATACCATCTCCTCGTGCGCAGAGGAAAAGACGATGACGATGTTGAATGTTAATTTCTTCTTCATTTGATAATGTACACTTAGTTAGACAAATAAAACTGTTGGTCGGTTCTTTTGTTCTTCGAATTACGGTTTCAAAAAAATAAAAAAATGGTAATTAAAAATAATTAAGATTTTCATTTTCCTAATTAATTGGAGTCCAATGCCCCAACAAAAAGCCCATTGTGCTCCCCCCTATAAGTGATGTAATCTATTTATTTTAACCCTTAACATACCATTATCACTAACGCTGTAGGCTACCACTCCGTCCTAAAATTTCCTTTACAAATATACACCCCTCCCACAGATATGTTGTTGTTGTTGTTTTGGGGTTTAAAGTCCGCTTTCAAACTTACGTTTATATCGCAGACTATTTTTGGTGGTTAGTTCGTGGTTTTTGTGTATATACAGTTTGGTTTCATTTGTTTTCCTTTCATTTTTGGGTGTAGTTTTTTTATTGTGCGGGATTTGTATTTTGTTATTGGGTGAATATTATTTTTTCTTTACAGCTTATTAGACTGATTCTTCGGTTTTGTGCACATATTTTTTTACCAGGCTAAGCAGAGTGGATGGGGCGTCCAAAGATATACACCACATCACACAGATATACACCACATCACACAGATATACACCACATCCCACAGATATACACCCCTCCCCACAGATATAACCCTCCCACATATATACATCACATCACACAAATATACACCCATCACACAACTATACACCCCATCAGACAAATATCCACCCCATTACATAAATATACACCCCTTCCACAGATATACACCCCCACCACACAAATATACAACTCATCACATAATATTGCCATAATTTGCACGCAAATCCACATTTTTTATCTGAACTGTTTGTAAGAAATGAAAACACCAACTACGTCTTGTTTTGATGTTATTCAAGAATATCAAAAACATTACATCACAGTATATAATTTTTAATTTATTTCTAAATTCCACTTTTTATGCATGCTATAAAACAGACAGTCTACAACTCTCCTTAAAAATTCCTAAAATGATTCAACTCTAGTTTAACTTTAGAAAATTTATTTGAAAGCAAGGACATTTTTGGATGGCATTTTCTAGCGCAGACGATAAAGCCTCCAGAGCACAATAGGTCATAATGACATGACAAGGTCCAAGTTTGGAGACAATAAAACTTTCGCGTGTCACACTGACCAAATTCGCCGCAAAGCGCCGCGTTTGTCCGTTCTCGCTTCGCTGCGCATGATATTCACTGGCGCGCGAATGTAAGAAAAAAAAGGGGTTGGGTCGTAAAGTTGTGTTCACTTTAGGTATTCATAGTTCAGAGGTCATGGGTTCGGAGTGTTAAGGAGCGAATGATCGGGGACTTATTTATTGACAAATAAGTCGTTGGGTGGTTTTTAGGCGTGTTAGAACGATTTTAGGAACACAGGACTATCTGAGCGAAACTCACGACACGGAAGTTCGGCTTGAGTTGTGTGCTTCATTTTTTTAGAGCAATTTTATTAGAACTTCGTAGAGAGAACTTAGGAACAAAAATTTAAACCGAAGTTTTATTTAAATAGAATTAGGTAGATTATAAGTTTTTAAGTAATTTCTAGTTTTAATAATTTTCTGATAATGTGATTGTGGTGTTTTCTTCAAAAGCGATTTGGATTTTTGTTTCAATTTTAAAAAAAAATTATTTTGGTGAAAGGAAATATTTCTTTGTGTGAGATGGATCCGAACGCGGGTCTTCAAGTAGCGCAGGTCAACAGTCCAAACACAGGTGAATCTTTTGTTTCTGGATACGATCATACCCACCGTGGCACCAACTTCTTGAACACTCCAAGCTATAGCATGGTCTCGACCAACAGCCCAGTGTTGACCATGGGTCATCTCGTCCAAACCACTCCAGTGGTCGGTAAATCCACCTGCGTCAATGACTCTTCAATCTTCGCTCATCCGAGCTCTGATACAAAATTTTCTATGGGAGCGCCGGGTAAGGTCAAATCAGAAAACGGTTACACGTACCGCAGTGCCAGACGAAATCTCCGCGACATGTCGTTTGGTCAGTTCTCAAGTCCTGGCACCAGTTACCCCAGCACGAATCACAGCTCGCCAGTCAACCAATTCTACGACTACCAGGATTCCCCTCACCATTCTGGTGACGTCACAGAGTACTCACACAACTACGATCCGTCTTTTTATTACAACAAATACTACGACAATGTGAACAGTTATGACAGCTCTTTTGAAAGCGGGACCGGGAGCGAGGCTTTCTCAAGCCCTGCCGACGAATCAGCATCCTCCACCTACGACCAACTTTCATACCCATGCTTCGATTATACCAGAACAATCCCCACAGACGACAAATCCCAGATTGGAATCACCAACGCGACAAGTCCCGGGAACAAAAGCACCACCGAGCACATGTTCAACGAATCTTGGAGTATCCCAAGCTCCGTGGAGGATTCTGGAAACGGTGCCACTTTAGCGAAATCCGAAACGTCGAGCGGAACGGAGAATTCGGTCAACGAAGACGAAACATCAGATGAAGATGGCGGAATTTTAATCGGAACTCCGGTGCTGTATTCGGATGGTACGGATGCGGTTCCAGAGAAAGCTTCGACGCCAACAGCTCACACATTTTTATGCCATAGTTGTGTGTGCGGTTCGGGAAGTTCCACTGATAATACTGGATCCAAAACACAAGACACGAAGCCTATACATTTATTGGAATCACAAAACAGAGACTCCGAATATTCGGGAAGTGACAAAACTGAAGAAGGGACAGTCCATGGTAGTTTCGATGCTGAGAGAAATGGCGTTAAAAGTCGGCGAGGTAAAGGAAAAAGGAGTTTGGATGTAAACACGAAAAGTGGTCAAGGGTTAGCTGATGTGGACATTGTCCAGGTAAACACTCTGGAACTAGAACAAAAGGTAGGTTAACTTTTCTGGGTTGTCATGTATGGAGAGTATTGCGGATGATATTGTTAATGCTAACAATTAGTCTTATTTTTTACATTAACGTTTCAGTTGATCATCACTAACAACCTAAATCCCTTTCAATTTTAGACGAATACTTAATTTTATTTGTGGTATGGAAATACATGATTCTAGCTTCATAACATGTCACTGTACAATACGTCACGCTATACCCAGACAAGTCACTACTGTTAGATCGTCTCAAGTCATTTATTGCAACAGACAAAAAAAAAATAACGGTTTTGACGCGGACTGTACATCTAGAACCAATTAATTCCTTTTACCCTTTTCTTCTATCTATGACCAATGTACGCAGTTGGGACAAAAATGACACTGTAGGATAAACTTATTTTAAAAATGATTTTACATTGTACACTTGTATACTTTACAAACGTCGCGCTTATCCCACACACGTACATTTAAAACAAAAATTATTAAATACGAGCCGGCCCGCGGCATAACATACGCCGCTATTTAGTTGTTTCTAATTTTCAATAATTCATAATTTGTGATTTCGACAGTACCAACGCTGACACTGAAAATATTTCTTTAAAACACTATAAGTAGCTCGTTAAGGACCATAACCCCCCCCCTTCCTTCCCTCCCCCCCTCCTCCCCCCCTACGTTTAAAATCGTTGGCTCTGCTTGTAAACATTTAGAGTGAACACAGCTCACTAAAACCATGTAGGGGTGGGGAGGTAGGGAGAGCGTTTGCAGCTTGTTTTCTAACGGCTCGAAGAAGAGAATTATATATATAGATTTTCACCTATAGATGGGATCGTGCTTCAATGCTTTGATGAAACTCTTCAGATTTATACCATTTGACAGCTGTATCATCCCCCTGTATCATCACACGTTGTCACAAAAAAAAAACTGACCGATCAAAGAAAGTCCTAATAACATAATTTTATAATTTTTTTAAAAATATTTTTTTAAAAATTTTAAGAACAATTAATTTTTTATATTTACTTTAATTCTAAGAACAAGAAATGTATGAATTTCATACCCCCCCCCCCCCCCGGGACGGCGTGGCCTGGGATAGAGTGCTAGACTCCTACCCCAAAAAGTCTTGAGTTCGAATCTCGGTCTAAATCAACGGATCGCTGACTTTATTCAGGGCTTATGGGTACCTAACTTACGTTAAGGAAAGTAAAGGCGACTGCTGGGCATAGTGCTGACCACACTATTCCTTCATATGCCGAGGTAAAGAAACACATGAACTCTACTTCATCTACCCAATGGATCGCTTGGTCTAAAGAAAAATCTTCACTTTTACTTCATACCCCCCCCCCCCCCGCCCCCTCTCCATGATAGCCATCTTCACCAAGAAAATTTCCTTATCTCCCCTATGTGATTTCATTGTATGGCTTCCCCTATGTACCGAACTGATTAAATTCTTCTGCAACTCCTAAACTAAAGAGTATCTTTCGACGTGTCTACACATTACAAGGGTCCCTAACTCTGACCAAGCGCGGAGACATAAATAAGCGACGCAATTGAGAATCAAAATCTGAATATGAATTAGTTCATATAATACTACAATCTAAATCTAGATCAAGGTTCTGTATATTACACTAAATAATACTATAAATAAATATCTCTCTCCCCCGCCTTTTCTACATACATAAAAATTATGAGTGACTTGTTCTTTTTTTTTTATATTTCTGGTATGAACATCGGTCTAAACATGGGAAATGTACAATACCTTCTAATGAACTATTCTACGTCAGCAGACGTATTTCGTATCAAGCCACGGGTAGTCCCCCCCCCCCACCCTACCCAACCCCCAGTTGTTAATACTAGATCATAAGTATGACGTAAACATACAATAGACCCTAATGTTCCAGGGGAGTCTGTGGGGGAGAATCCCAACAAGGGAGCTAATCACGGAATGGACTTTCCAGGGTTGTCGTTCTTGGTACTTTTTTTGTGGTCAAGCGAGATCCTGGACGGCCGTAGGTGATTTAATAAATGAGGTTAATTAATACCCTGCAGGTGGAGTTGTGCGGCATCTGTCGTCTGTCATCTGTCATACCTGTGTGTGCTGTGACTGACACTGCGCGAGTTTGATTTAGTAAAGGAATCGAATAGTGTTGACATCTGCGAATTTAAAACTTGAGAAGCGTTTAGACACGTGTTCTGTTGCTTAAGAACGTGTGTTCGTAGGCGTGTTAAACGCGCTGTAACTGGGCCAATCGCATGCGTAACACATGTATCTACATGTGTTTAAATAAGATACTTGCATAGTCTCTAATAAATATTTGATTAAAACCCTACAAGAAACATATAACGCTATTATTGAACATTTATCACGAAAGATATTTAATTAAATGTATAGTTTCGACTTTTTTTTTGGAATTATAAAAATATGATAGTATAAAGAATAAGTGAATATACTCGCTTTTAAAATGATTTTAATCTTGTACCTTACATAAGCCAACACCCTCTCCTCGAAAAATATTTGAAACTCGATCAGTAGCTAGAGAAAATGCACTAATCGAGCATCATATAATTACCTGAATGAGTAAGTGATCGCTACAAGCAATTTATTCACCCTTTTGGTAATTGTCTTTAAATTAAATTATATGCCAACACATTTACAAATAAAATAAATCTGATTTTAATGCATAGTCACTAGGGATGCATGCCTGTGAAAAGATGAACTACGTCAGAAATGGATTTAAAAATTTCACACAATTTCACATAATTAGACATCGTGAAAGTCAAAGCTAATTAAATTACATGTGTTGTTGCTTGCACCAGTTAATATTGAACAATATTTATTTAAAAAAATCCTACCCAATGAGCTATAAGACCAAAACATACATTCTTCATTAGGTTTTAAAATGTATTTCTACAACACATGTTCTCTAGACAATTTTAAGACCCGTAATAGTTGTTTACGTAATAAACATTTGTGTAAAGATTAATATGAACTGCTGTTTACATAAGAAAAACGAACATTTGTATAATGATAAACATGAACTACCGTGTGGAAGTGTGGTGAGTTGTTCTCGAGCTAACCACACACCACATGTGTTTAACAGTGTGACTAGTGGTCATCCACACAGCGTGTCAACGTGACATGTTTGTGATGGTCAGCTGACCAGTCGGACCACTTGGTTTATTGTCTAAAGTGAGTCAATATTTTTACTTCTGCTGGGTCTATGACGTCAGAGCAAGCGTTTTACGAGGCTTGCTACACGCTGACGTCAAAAGCAGCTCTGACGTAATGACGACCATAAATTTGTCAGAGACGAAAGCTGAACTTTGTTCTCACGGTTTTAGGTTTAAAAGGTTGTCGTAAAAGTTTTGTAGGTTGTAACATTTTAGTAGGTTGTCGTAAAATTTTAGTAGGTTGTCCTAAAATTTTAGTAGGTAGAGGTAAAATTTTAGTAGGTTGTCGAAAAAGTTCTGTAGATTGTCTAAAAAGCTTTGTAGATTGTCGAAAAGGTTTTGTAGGTTGTCGTAAAAGTTCTGTAGGTTGTCGAAAAAGCTTTGTAGGTTGTCGAAAAAGCTTTGTAGGTTGTCGAAAAAGCTTTGTAGGTTGTCGAAAAAGCTTTGTAGGTTGTCGAAAAAGTTCTGTAGGTTGTCGAAAAAGTTCTGTAGGTTGTCGAAAAAGTTCTGTAGGTTGTGGAAAAAGCTTTGTAGGTTGTCGAAAAAGCTTTGTAGGTTGTCGTAAAGGTTTTATTCTCTGACATTTGAGGTTACTGTAGTTTCCCTGTAACTTTCCCCAGTAAATGTTATCACAGGATAAAAGTTATTGTTTCAATCGTGTTTGGTTATTGGTTAGGATCAGGGGGCTAAATTAGCGCCGGGATAAGAAGTGTTTAAAAAGGGTTTTGTGTTGTATATGAGAGGGTAATGGGTTATGGGTGGTATATTCATAGGTAGATGCAAGGGGTGGTTTGTACTGGAATGGTTTTCGATGGGGTGTTTACGATGGAGGGGTTTTGGTGAGAGGAGGGGGGGGGGGGGGTTACGATGGAGGTTTTACCATGGATGATTTATGATGGATGGCGTACGATGGAGGGTTTATGATGGTGTATGTTGGGTTAGTTATGATAAACTTTGACTGTTTGGAGGCCAATTACTCGGAGCAAAGGCCGATAATCCAAACTAATATTAAACACAGCAGTTAGAAGTAAAAAAAAAAACCCTTCAGATTGATGGAGATAAAAACAAAATGGTCGCTCAGCTCTCGTCTTTGATTCCATCTGACACCTTCGGAAGTCCAGCGGCGGAAATGACGTAATTCACTTCAGGAACACGGAGGGGGACGCTGGGGCGTTTAGCATGGCCGCTGTTCCACTCCATGCCACGTGATCTTGTCGTACTCACTTCCTGTCATGCGCAGAAGGGTTTCCTATCGATTTTAGTGAGGAATTACAGGAATAAAAAGATATTCCTTACATCTTTATACGTTTTGCCCCTACGCAAAAGTTAATAGGTTTTGGCGGGTGGGGGGGGGGGGGGGGGGGAGAAAGTTTTATCTAGAAAGATGTGGTAGTTATCAAAATATTAGCAGGACAATGGTTTACCCTGGTTACATATTAAGCTAGAATACCTAAGCTAATTTTGGTTCTAATCCTAACCGTGCACCATTAAAAAAATCACTTGGTAGCATTGTGCTATCGAAAAACCACAGGTATTTTCTGGTTATAAACCGACCCTTACCCTAACCCCACCTCACACATGCCTGTAAGAATAAGGGGGTAGGGGGTGTCGAAGACACTTGTCTACCTACAGCGGGTAGGGTGAAAATGTGTTTTTTTTTTTTTTTTTTTTAAAAATTACTGTTAGCTGTTCGATTTAGCGGACTTAATGGTATCGCGTACGTTTCTACGTTAAACAGTGGTATACTTCATCTACTTTCACTAATGCTACCTGTAGACACTCTCATCAGTGTCCCATATCACCTACTCCCTCACCCTTTTTTTCACCCCCCCCCCCCCACCAAACCCACCCCCACCCCACTCTGGGCTTTCCTGAGATCGTACGCTATGCCACATCATTGTTCAACCACGCAATAAAGTCCTTTAACCAACAAAACCCTATTCTGTGATGGGCATAAGCACGAGCCTTATCTTAACGCCACTATTGACACCGTTCACAATCCAACCCATGTCATCACAACATCGAACGCCCCACTGGGCTCATTGTCCCCTCCCCCCCCCCCCCCCCTCTCGCTCTGTAGTCAGACCACAATGAGCAGGTACCTGTCTAAGACGAGTGGGAATACCCGCATTTCGCCCGCGGTGATGTATGCGCGCCGACCATACGGTCTGTAGTGACTAGCGCGTCATGAAGCGTAAGGGGAGTTAATAACGGCGACAGAAGTTGCCGGCCCTTGAACTTTTATTTGGAGAAGGGGAAATCACCCAAGCATAAATGATTCCACGAGTGAAATAATTATATTATTACTTAGATTTATACACAAGAAGTCAGGTTAGATTAATATAGATTCTGTGATTTTCGGGTAAATAACGTAATGAATAATACTTTTATTAAGTTATCACAACCCTTAGTTTTAATTTCATGTTTTAAACCAATACAAGGGAGGTAATGTAAACATTATTTCAGAAAGTGAAAAATAATTAAATTTAAAACTAGCAAAATAAGTAGCATGTTATTAATATGTTTATTATGTAGTTATTTTAAATTTAAATAATTATAAAAAGTAATATAAGTATTATGTGTATAAAAACATTTTAAATGACAATAATAGTTAAACATAAAACAATAAATGTTTTCTAATCCAGTTTCTAACAAATAAAATTCATTACAAGTTAATGATACTCCCCACTCCGTGACGAGCTTCATTGTGTTGGAAAAAAAAGTATTTTTAAACAATAAATAAATATAAACGAAAAAAAAAGGAAACCAAGTATGAAGAATACGTTATTAATACTAAAAAAATTATCTAAGACCACTGTCACCACTCAGACGATTCGGTGCTCACTCTACTTGTCTCAGAAAACAACTAACTTACTCAGCCTACCATTACTAAGCCACTAAGCATATTTCTACTGATGTCTGAATAATGCTACTTCTTATAACTCAACATGAATGAGGACAAAGAAAATAATTTGAACCTAAATTATGAAATTAAAAATTATGAAAGTAATTCTTGTGAAATATCTTACCACTTAGACAAGCATTCAATGATTAAAACAAAGCATACAATACCCCCTGATAGAACTAACAACGTTGGTGAGCAAATGAATAAACAGAGTAAAGACTTTTATTGACCATGCACAGATTTGTCTTCGAGTTCATTGCATCTTCAAACTGATCCTTCTTTAAAAATACAAGACCAATGCCGCTTAAAAAAACATGTACATAGAGGAATTATTGTTGAAAAATTATTTTGTGATAAACCGGTGGATAAAGAAAAAACAGAGCTAGTTGATTACAGTATTTACCCAAATACTCATGGTGTTACTACATAAGGTACAGAATTAAGCCAGGCTATTCTGTTTATGGAGACATTGCCCCTACTGCTTCAAAGTGTGAACATGTCATGAAGAGGTCACTTCTCATAGCTGCCAGCAGTGTTTTTTCCAGACTTTTTCTCCGGGAGGGGGGGGGGGGCGGTAGACTTTCTTCCGGGGGGGCGGTAGACTTTCTTCGCCCCCCCCCCACCACCACCACCCCCGAAGAGATGCCTGAAGAACTGTCCACTGATTCTGCCATATACTTAGAATCTTGTCCAATCACAGAGATCTCTGTCAAAGAAACAACGCGCAGGGAAAGAATAAGTAAAGTAAGTTCCCTTTTCAAACCAGACGGTGTATAAGGACGGAGTGGCCTAGCGGTAGAGAGCTGGACTGCTAACCCGTAAGTCTCGAGTTCGAATCCGGGTTCAAGTCAGTAGACCGTCCCAGAGTCCACCCAACTTTGATGGGTACCTAACTCACGTTAGGGAGAGTAAAGGCTATCTCTTCATATGCCGAGGTCACAGAAACAAGTGAACTCTACTTCACTTGCCTTATAGACCGTCAAGGAAAGAATGGGTCAAAGAAAAATAGCCCAGTGCCAAAGTCCAGCATTTAGAGAAGGAGAAAGGTTGAAAGGCAAAGAGTGGATGAAAGCATTGATGATCCCATTTTTTTTGTCTTCATGAAAGACAAAGAGACAGAGACAGAGAGAGAGACAGAGAGAAGAAAAATACTCCACCTAAATAATCTGACTCAGAGAGGGAGAAACGGAGAAATATAGAATAAGAAAGTCTGTGCTGCGATCTATGAATTCAGAAAGTCAGAAGGAACATGTTCCTATAGAGGAGTTCCAGCTGTTGCTAAGCGACGATTGTGACCATGTTGATCATGTGACCGCCATCACATGGAAAAGTGGATAAAAATAGCACACAGCATTTTAAAACTGATACTTGATATAATTTAATTTTTTTATTTATTCCAAATATTAAATGGCATTATGTAACTTTTGTGGCAGTGTTTAAGAATTGATTTTGTAGATATTTAAACGATTATTGGGGTCGGCGTGGTCGAGTCCGTAAAGTTCATGGTTGCTAAAACGAAAGGTCTCGAGTTCGAACCCTCGGGCAGATGAGGCTCGTTAGCTGGGGACAGCCACTCTTCTAGGAGAGACAACTCCAAAATTAAACAACTGCTGCCTTGTAGCTTGTTCTTGGTTGGACAAAGGCTATGGAAGCAAATCCAAAAAGAAAAGCTGGCTGAAATCGGAGTCAATAGCCTCAATGGCGCATAACCAGTTGACACGGATCCTTAATTGTATTGGTTCTCCTTCTAACACTAAAATAAACCGGGAGTGATCTCCCCTAAACTTTCTCAAATATTCTTATATAAAATAACAGGGGATGGGAACTCGGGCTATAGACATGATTTTTAATCCATTTTAAATACTTAAAGTTTTAAAAATAGAATAAAATCTCGTAGACAAATTAATTGCACACCAAGTGAACGCCAAATAAAAAAGCGCATAATAGTGCGCAATATTATTATTACTTTTAAAATTTACATTAGTTTTTTGAGAAATCGGAAGTAGCGTAAACTACTACTTCCAGTCAACGGAAATGACTCAAAATTTAATAGAAGGTAGAGAATTAGATCTTTCACTTACGTATGAAATTTCATTTAACTATCTGAAATAGTACTCAAGTTATAGGCTTTTGAAAAATTCAAAGTAGGAAAAGTACCACTTCCGGTTATCGGAAATCGCTCAAAAGTTTATACGGATCTACGATTTTGATAAAATACTTATATATGAAATTTCATCAACCTAGCTGTAACGGTACTCAAGTTATCGTGTTTACACACGGACACACAGACACACAGACACACAGACACACGCACACACACAGACATACGGACAAGATTGCAAAATTATGTTCTTCCGTATCAGTGAGGTGTAAAACGTCGAGATTTGTAAAAATCTCGATTTTTTTTTGTTGCACGATTACAATACTTTCTCTATACTTCGTATATACGAGAAAGTAATTAAGAACGAAGAAGAAGAAACTATTATTTCGTTGATGCGCTTGTTTTGAATTGAAAATTGTTGTATTTAAAGACACCACTAATCCAGAGCATAGCGCTATATTTTTCTATTAAAAAATGCACTAACATTGAGGCGGGGTGGTCGGGTCAGTAGAGCTCATGGTTGCTAAAAGTCCTCAGGCAGATGAGGCTCGATAGGTGAGGACAGCCAATCATCTAGGATAGAACCCTACTGCCTTGTAGATTATTCTTTGATGAATAAAAACTATGGAATCAGACTGAAATCGGCGAATGTGTGATTGACACGAAATACTAAATTGCGTTGGAGGAAATCCAGTCCAACATTACTATTAAGAACGATGAAAGAGAATCTAGTTTGGTAACTATTCATTAAAACTTAATTTAGAGAATAATAAAAAAAAAAGCACTAAATTTAATGAACCAGCATCCCAACTACAACGCTACCGCCCCCCCACCCCCATTCGTCAAGCTCCGACCCACCTGTTCCCCGATCCCCCAGACAACCAACCCTAACCTTTAACCTCTCCTCCCCCCAGGGCTCCCACCTGTGCCTGGGCTGCCAGAAGCCGGTCTTTGACCGCTACGTCCTGCACGTCAAGGACCACGGCTACTGGCACGCAGAGTGCCTCAAGTGCAGCAACTGTCAGGACAACCTCAGCACACACAAGAGCTGCTACGTCAAGAATGAGCAGGTCTTTTGCAGGAACGATTATAACATGTGAGTAGACATTTAGATCACACGCACAATGTACCCACACACTGCACCCACACACTGCACCCACACAATGTACCCACACACTGCACCCACACACTGGACCCACACACTGCATCCCCGCACACTGCATCCCCACACACTGCATCCCCACATACTGCATCCCCACACACTGCATCCCCACACACTGCATCCCCACACACTGCATCCCCACACACTGCATCCCCACACACTGCATCCCCACACACTGCATCCCCACACACTGCATCCCCACACACTGCATCCCCACACACTGCATCCCCACACACTGCATCCCCACACACTGCATCCCCACACACTGCATCCCCACACACTGCATCCCCACACACTGCATCCCCACACACTGCATCCCCACACACTGCATCCCCACACACTGCATCCCCACACACTGCATCCCCACACACTGCATCCCCACACACTGCATCCCCACACACTGCATCCCCACACACTGCATCCCCACACACTGCATCCCCACACACTGCATCCCCACACACTGCATCCCCACACACTGCATCCCCACACACTGCATCCCCACACACTGCATCCCCACACACTGCATCCCCACACACTGCACTTCCACGCCACACACGATACTACACCCATACGACACTGTAGCCCCCCCCCCACAAAACTACTGCATCTCACACGACACTACACCCCACACTAAACCCCCACAAAAACGACACTACACTTAACATAGCTACACTTTAAGTACTATACCCCACATTACAAGTAAGCCAGGCTACAACAACCACATTTCAAACACCCCACCACACAAAAACTTCACATTTCAAACACCCCACCACACAAAAACTCCACACTTTTAATACTCCCCACTTAACGATTTGACAGGTGAGTACACAACCACCCTTCCATCACAACAGACCACCACATCCCACTCCACACTACCACACCAACCCACACCACATCCTATCGACGTAAGTAAAACACAAGTAACTCTACATCAACACACATCACTCATACAACCACATATTTAAAGTTTAGTGAATAGTGGGTAAAACTAAAACTATATATAATGTCCATTTTTGATTACTAACAAACAAATATTAACACATCTATCTATATATATAATTCTCTTCTTGGAGACGATAGAAAACACCAAGCTCCCTACCACCCCCACCCCTACATGGTCTGGTGAGCTGTGGTTCACGCTAAATGTTTACAATCGTAGAGCCGGGTTTAGTGACGGCTATTAGGGGCAGATAATTTAGTTTGAAACGATTTTAAACTTAGGGGAGGTAACTAAGTTTACTTTCATCGGGGGGGGGGGGGTGGGTGGGGAAAGGAAGGGGGTTATCTCCTTAACCAGCTACTGATAGTGTTTTAAAGCAAATATATTCAGTGGCAGCGTTGGTACTGTCGAATTCACAAATTATGAATTACTGAAAAGTAGAAAACAAAACAACTAAATAGCGGCGTATCATTATACGCCACGGGTAGGCTCGTTTTTACAAAACGACCAGCTAAGTTTTGTCAAATGTTACTGTCGGTCTTTCAATAAAGTTAGAAAAAGTTTTAAAATCGTTCACGTTACAAAGAGATATGCTGCCTATTAAATTAAGCTGTACGCGAAAAACGAATTATTCATTTACTTTATTTTACTACGAATTTCTTAAAATTCCGGAGAATTTTCAAAATACGGACTCCAAAGTTTTTTAACAAATTAGTCTCCCCCCCCCACCCCCACCCCCTCTATCCTACATGCGCACTACGGGCAAAATCCGGGTGTTCACGGTCAATTAAAAACTAGCACTGTCTTCATCTCATCCTCCGTTTCCGGTGTACGGGTGAGTGGGCGTGTCCCCGCCCTCTTGTAGCCCGCTAATCAGTACTAATTAGACCGGCTCGTAATTAGACGGACACGGAGATAGGGGATCGATGAGGTGATTCTGGGAGTGGACACCGTGTATGTGTGGGCGTGTGGGTGTGGGGGGGGGGGGAGTATTCAGGGGATGGAGAGTTTAGAATTGTGACGATTGACTTTTGGTGTATACGGATATGAAGGTAGGTTATACAGGACTCGGGTTTGTGTTTTACCTGGCTTCGTTAAAAGGCATTACCGGACTGCACCAATTGACTATATAGAGGCACTAATTGAATATATAGAGGCACTAGCTGACTAAATAGCGGTACTAGTTGACTATATAGAGGCATTACCTGACTACATTAGAGGCACCACTTGACTATACAGACACTACATTTCTGTATTAGAGGCATTACTTGACTACCTAGAGGTTACTACCTGACTACATTAGAGGCACTACCTATTTTAGCAAGTATCACTTCCATGCTTAGCCATGGCGCTATTACGCGCTGAGTTTTTTCCAGACCCCTCTCCCCCAAATATCAAGTGCCCCTCGGAGAAAAAAGTCTGGAAGAAACACTGATCACGCTGTATATGTTACAACGTGTGCAAGTTAAAAGGGCTAGTACAGGCATGATTTGTTTTAGGCATCAAACACTCCAATATACTGGCATAGACTCAGGTTTGATTATTGTAGAACTGATATGATTGATGACTGAGGACATCGATGTTCGATAATAGGCTCTTCTAGTATAGTATTTAAACCTCTAGTTTTATGGTTAAGCGTAAGGTAGGATTAGGGATAGGGTTAGGAATAGGTTAGGGATAGGGTTAGGATTGACATTGGCAAAGCCAAATGTGTATTTAGTTAACTACCAGTAACATAACACCCATTTAAAAAAAAAAGATTATTGTCTTTATCAGACACTGGTATAAGAAATCCACCAAAATACAACGTGAACTATACCTTAAACTTTCAATTTGTAAAATTAACTTCTTCTAGCACTCTCTTAAAAAAACAAACCCTCCCCTTTGTCAACGACCTTGAGTTGACGTCCTTGACCTCTGTGTTTATTCTCGTCTGCCCAGATTGTTTGGCCTCTCATGCGTGAAATGTTCACTTCAGTTCAAGAAAGAACAGGACTGGATGCGTGTGGCTGGTCAGCATCGATACCACATTGCTTGCTTCCTTTGTAAGGTGAGTACCCGAAAGTACAGTATCGATACTCAACTTTAAGTATAAAAGAGGGCCATGTCGATACTTCGTTTCTAGGACTATAGGACTATACTATAGGACTATACTATAGGACTATACTATAGGACTATACTATAGGACTATACTATAGGACTATACTATAGGACTATACTATAGGACTATACTATAGGAAACTATCAATAATCATTTTGTTTGATAACCTACACAATAGGGCATTATCGTTTATCAAAGTACAAATTGCATCAACTATAGCAAATGAACAAATCACAAGAAGATTGAAAAACATCGAAAAAAAAACTCCTCAACCACCACCTTTTTAGTGTGATCAGTACGGTGGGTTTTATACCTCAAAATCTGCTCTTTACATAGTTACTGAGCTCAGGGGCGTAGCGAGGGGGTGCGGGGGGTGTGGACCGCACCGGGTGACACCATTTAGGGTGGGGGGGTGACACCAAGGCAAAAAATAGCAAAATATATAGAGAAAAACTTGAGGGGGGTGCAAATCGAAAGTTTGAGGGGGGGGGGGGGGGGGTGCAAATCGAAAATTTGAAAGTTTGTCCCCGGGAAGGGTCGCTATGCCTTTGGGGAGGGGGGTGACACCATTAAGTGCCGCACCGGGTGACACCCGACCCCGCTACGCCACTGACTGAGCTCATGGTTCGCAGTGTTCAACTTCTACTTTAAAACAATCTTCACTGAATTTGTATATAGGCCTACTTGGTTTATGTTGGTGCAAGTTAAAGTATGCGAACGTGTATTTCTGAAGTGAAAAAAATAAAATGTTTAAATTCCAGATTTGCAAAAGACAACTTGGCAACAACGAGAAATATCACCTGGTCAATGGGACGGATATCTACTGCACCAATCACTACAGAGACATGGTCAACGGCGATAACTCAGGTAACTAGACAGTCATTTTGGTTACAGGGACGTAACTTGTGTTGAGATAGATTTTTGTGTGCTTTATTAAAATGGGCCTTGTTTCATTGAAATGGACCTTGTTTCATTGAAATGGACCTTGTTTCATTGAAATGGGCCTTGTTTCATTAAAATGGGCCTTGTTTCATTGAAATGGACCTTGTTTCATTGAAATGGACCTTGTTTCATTGAAATGGGCCTTGTTTCATTGAAATGGGCCTTGTTTCATTGAAATGGACCTTGTTTCATTGAAATGGGCCTTGTTTCATTGAAATGGGCCTTGTTTCATTGAAATGGGCGCTATGTTCTATTGAAATGGGCGCTATGTTCTATTGAAATGGGCCTTATGCTCAATTGAAATGGGTTATATTTTATTGAAATGGGCATGACGTATTAATGAAATGGGGGGGGGGGGGGTCTATATTTTGTTAAAACTTTTAGAATTCACCTTGTATTGTTTATATTGATTCAACTTATTGATTATAATCATATAAAGATAATTTATTGAAGGGTACATGATTAAACTTGACTTGGCTTATTCCACTGAAGCCCCTGGGGAGCAAAGGGCATCAACTACACCTATGCGTTAGACTTACTTTACGGCAGCCCTCTTTTTTTAAGCCCACGTAAGCCCAGGTCAATAACCCGCCATTTTATTCTCGCCCAGACGGCCAGCAGCCGCCCAAGAAAGCCAAACGCAACAGGACGTCCTACACGGAGACCCAGATCAAGTTCTTGCAGGATAGATTCCTGCGGGACAGCAACCCTGACGGTGGGGAGCTGGAGAAGATCGCTAAACACATCGGCCTCAAGAAGAGAGTCGTTCAGGTGAGCCGAGGCTTCTCATTGGTGGGTTGTTTGAAAACAAAACTTTTCATTGGTGGGTTGTTTGTAAACAAAACTTTTCATTGGTGGACTTTTTGTAAACAAACTTTTCATTGGTGGACTTTTTGTAAACAATTTTTAAATTGGGGGATTGTTTTATACGACACTTTGGATTGGTTGATTGTCTGTAAACAAATTTTTATGTGGTGGGTTGAACATAAACAAAGCGTCTAATTAATTCTTTGTATAAAGGCATTTTCTTGTTGACAGTATATAAAGCATCTAATGTATTGATGAATACATAAGAAAAAAAACTTCGATGCAGAATCATATGGTCAATAGTAGAGATTTCAGTTTGATGATTAATAGATAAAAAGCCCATTTATTAATAAAACTAGGATTGAAAAGTTACTTTATTTACTTCGAGTTAAACTCGGAATTGTTTCTGACAGGTTTACGAAGGGTAACCCAGTTTTTATTTACAGAGACAAAACAAATGCGTTAATGAGTTTTTTTTCGTTTCATCTTTTATTAGTCCTAAACTTGTTAAAAATTAATTAATTAAAGCTTAATAAGGAGTCGGCGTGGTCGAGTAGGTATAGCCCATGGTTGCTAAACCGAAAAGTTTCGAGTTCGAACCCTCGGGCAGATGAGGCTCGTTAGCTCGGACATCCATCCTTCTAGGAGAGACAACTCCAAAATCAAAAAATTGCTGCTTTGTAGTTTGTTCTTGGTTGGACTAAGGCTATGGAAGCAAATTAAAAAAGAAAAGCAGGCTGAAATCTGAGTCTATGGCCTAAATGGCGCATAACCAGTTGACACGTATACTTAATTGTGCTGGAGGGGATCCCTTCCAACATTAACATTAAGAACGAAGAAGAAGAAAAGCTTAATAAAGTGGGAAATTTTAAATTTGAAAGTTTGAATAAAATAATTTGTTAATGCGGAGAGCGAGAAGTATTTCCCCCCCCCCTGTATTTGCATTCCTGCAGTATAAAAATTGTAAGATCAAAATGAGAAAACGTTTCCTAAATATTTTTCTGTTTTCCTTTTTACAGGTCTGGTTTCAAAACAATCGAGCGCGCCTCAAGAAATCTGCCAACAACACTAAGGGCGGTAATCAGGAAAATAAGAACCCCACCAACGGTAACGGAGTTGCAGGCCCTACTAGTTTACACGGTAATTTTTGTTAAGTATTTAAACACGATATTAATTTATTATTTATTTACTAAATCATTTAACATACATATATATAGTAACATTTTTTTTTCTTGAACTAGGTCCAACTATGCTACTTTAAAATAAATTTAATATGAATATTATAAAATAAAAAATAAATTCTGTAAACACCAATACAACCAAGGAAAGCTCTCTATTTGTTTGGTCCATGTTACAACAAAAAAAAGTTTAGCAAAAGGTATAGGCTCTGCGTCACGTTTTTGTCTAATCCATTTTTATTCCACCACAGACCTTCAATCGATGGACTGGGACAACAGCCTTGACCCCAGCTCACTGGACGAGCAGCCGTACGCCACCCCGTCCCCCCAGCAGCAGGGCCGCCCCAACCACTTCGACTCCGGTTTTGGCATGAGCACGCCCGTGGGAGGCCCGCTCATGTGTCTACCCACATGCCACAACTCCGCCGGTCCTTCGTCCCTGGGGGAGGGGGGTAGCCTGACCAACTGTGACACCCCACGGGAACAGGTAAAACATTTTTGACGTCTTCTGATTTTGGTGATGAAGTGAGATTAGGGGATAACTACCATAATCGTGGAAATCTAGGAACATTCCTTCCTTTTATGCCGAAATTCATACATCCATCTATCAGTCTCTACAGAAACTTGATAGCTTTTGCCTGCTTAATACAACTAATACTATTCAGACTTTGTTTTCTTCATTCAAGTTTAGACACCGAGGTCTGTTTCCAATATTGTCTATTGACCTAAGCCTGGGTCTGCCTTTAGTCATTTTCCTGTTTGAAGTTGGTCATAAGTTTTCATGTTCATGTCGTTGTGCTGCATTAAAATAAAATAAATACACATTTTGTTTGAGGGGGGGGGGGGGGGAAATTGGAGGGGGGTGCTAAGGTCTTATGTGCAGAACAGTGTAAGGTGTGTGGTTGGGGGAGGAGTAGGGTATTGTCAAATAGTTTTTGCTGACGACCAAAATGAGTATTACGATAGGAAAAACCTGTTTTTTTTTTAAAGAAAACAAAATTTTAGTAATCGAGTAACTTGTGATTTTGTCGCTAAACTTACACTATAGGTCTACTTGTAATATAGAAATGCAAATTGTCTTTCCAGATGAGCCCACAGTTCTCCGACCTGGCGACCCCCTCAGCCCCACCCCACGAGACCCCATCCGAGGACCTCACCCGCACCGGCAACCACGAGTGCCCCTCCACCAACGGCGTCTGCAGCTCAGAACTGGGCTCCGCGCCCCACCTCCCCGCCCTCAGGAGCTCTGTCCTGGGCGACAAGTACCCTGAGCCCAGCGGTCTGAAGATCGAATCCCTGGAGCACCAGCAGCTGCGGCGGATGATGACGTATCACGAACAGCGGCAACATCCACCGCTCCACCATGTGGATTCTCCGTACGGCCTGTACGGTGGATACTACAACATGTACAGTAACGGATACGGATCAATGTATCCACTTTCCGGCGAGCATTGTTCCAGCCCGGATTCGTTCCTGGGTCACCGAGACCCTCACCTCTCCCCGTACCACGGGAGCAGCCACGAGCAATTGTTCACCGACAGCGCCCCCCGCCCCACGGCCAGATCAAGCCCGCCCGCCTGCTTCACCCTCGCCCCCAACGGCCTGACCCAGCCCTCGCAGAACTGCCCTTCACCCCCGTGTCATTTTTCTCAAGGTCAGGGCAGGGGTTCTGGAATAACCAGCCCACACCTGTTCAGCCACGGTCAAGGTTACACCAGGGCATCCTGTGCTAGTCCGTCTCTACCCGGTCGCTCCGGCCAGTTCGGTTTCCAGACCGGAAACGGATTCCAGAGAAATGGCGGGAATTCGTTTTTCACAGACGGCGGTGATTCCTCGTAACGTTGATCAAACAAACATAAATAATTTAAAGAGAGCTAAGCTAATGGAACTATTTCTCTACGTGAGTACTTAAAGACAAATCAAAAGTTGGTTCATGTTTTCGCATTAACAGTTCTACTCGTAGACCCTATAAAAAAGTGGGGGGTAGGTGGATATGATTTGATAATAGATCAACTACAAGTTTATCCTGCAACAAAAGGGACCCGCCACAGACTTAATAAAGGGATGTAATCGCAGGAACACGGAGAGTTCAATTTTGACACAATGGAAAGTTTTGATTGGCCGAAGCAAGTTCTGCAGAGCAGGATCTGAAAAACCAAAACAATGAATTCTGATGTCTGTTTTTATAAACTTTGGCAGACATTTCAATCAGACATGTGATGCCACATCAGCTGAATGGCAATCCCACATTGTATTTTCTAACATCAGCTGAATAGCAATCCCACACTGAATATTCCCACAACTGAATAGCAATCCCACACCGTATTTTCCCACAACTGAATGACAATCCCACACCGTATTTTTCTCCACATAAAATACTCTAACAAAAGAAACCTCTGGGAAGCTCTAAAGACTGCTTACATTTGGTGTTCTGGTGAAAACCTACATATACTGTTTTATTTAGTCTTGCTATAGAATCGTGAGTGAATATCTCTTGTGTAAGGAAGTTTCATTTTTTTGTTTATAAATCTCATTTTTATAAATTCCATCCACTTTCTAAGTTTTATAAAAAAAATTGAACTTAAAAAATTGAGGGTCGTCATAAAGAAACAAACAAAAAAAAAATTGAAAAGAATAGACTACATTGGATTGCCATACAATTTTCTTAAAAAATTAGTCCTCAAAACTTTTAATAAAAAAATCTAACAATAGGGGTAACTGTACACCACACCAAAGAAACGTGCCACTAAACGTGACAGACCCGTAAAGTTTTGAAGATCTTGAATATTCCCAGCAACACTAAATTAGACCCAAATATACATTAAACATGGTCTCTGGTCAAATCGTCCCCTCCCTCTCCTTTATTCCGTCAGTAAAATTTTGTCAGATGCTTTAGTCTTTCCTTTTGTACAGCAATTGTAAAAATCAATTTTAATTATCTTAATTGTAATTAGTAATCATTTACTCGTGAGTGTATTATCTTAATTGTAATTAGTAATTATTCTCTCGCGAGTGTGTGTGTGTGTGTGTGAATGCTTTTTTAAATTGTACATTTTTCAAAATCTTATGTTTATATCTCATAGACAAGTGATACATCTTTTTACTCAATCTCATTGTACATAGATCATTTTACCGTAGTAGCTTTTATATCTACATCCATTTTACATGTCCATATTGATTCTAAATGCTTTGGTCTGCAAATTAAGCAAATGTTGTTAAAAATAGAATGCTGTCATAAATCGCTTGTAAATTTATTCACGCACTATGAGAATTTCCTAACACACACCACGCAATGTTACGTTTCGTGGAAGGGGAAATTACCGATTCTAAAAATAGATGAACGAGTTTCGTTTCTTAGAAAACTTGCAGGGCGTGTTGGTTGTGTAAAAAGTTGCGCATCAGAGTGTGAATAAAACATGTCTCCACTACACACAAATCATCAAATCATCGTGTAACAGATGCTAGCTTTGAGTGATTTGAAACAAGCGAAGGTTAAAAATTGTATTTAGAAACAGTAATTTATTTACCGGTGTGAAAGTTTTGTGTAAAATGTCAAATAATTTTAATATGTGTATGATCATGAAATGTCACACATCAATGGTATGAATGATGTACGTATAAAATGCCATTAAAGTTCTGATGGATGTGATAATTTGTTTTTTTTTGTTTGTTGTTAGTAAAAACAAGTTTACAAATAAAAAAAAAAAGACACGCTAATACTAAGAAATAACTAAATATTTGCTGTGAGAAGAGCCTATGATGAGTATTTATATTATCATTTTAAAACGTTTTTCTTAACTCAGCTTCGCGTTTGTTTGGTTGTTTGGATGTTTGTTGTTAAAATTGACATCGAAAATTAGCCCACTTCTGATTGCTCTAGAGACCTGAAATTTGGCATGCATGCTACTTTCGCCTAACAATTTCAGATGCAATCATAAAAACTAGCAATTAGTGACCGTAATTAGCTTAATTTAATTACGCCCCAAGGACCATAAAATTGAGGACATGATTTTTAAAGATACCGACAAGACTGGAGGCCTATCGACACAGTTACTTCGGCCCCAATCGATGTGAGCGCGCTGGCCGTGATCGTATAGTGGTTAGTACTTCGCGTTGTGGCCGCGACAACCCAGGTTCAAATCCTGGTCGCTCAAGATTTTTAGTCCGTGTATTTATAAACACTTTTTTAAAAACCACGTTTTTCATGTGTAGCAACGGACTAAAAAGGAGAAAATAAAATACTTAAAAAAAACTTTTTAAAAAACCACGTTTTTTATGTGTAGCAACGGACTAAAAAGGAGAACGGACACGGTAACATATTGTTAACGGTGACACGGTTGGTACGCTGGGCATGCTAAAATACACATAAACACGTTTTTCCTTAACTCAGCTTCGCGTTTATTTGTTTGTTTATGGGAGATTTGATCACGTGATTCGTGAGTAGATCTCCACGCCAGCAACGTAAATTACACCCTTTCTCTGTTTAAAGCGTATCGGTCGCTCAAGATTTTTTTAGTCCGTGTATTTAAAAACACTTAGTCAAGTCATACTTAATCAAGTGATTAGATAAAGTAGAAAATAAACTATATAAAAAACTTTTTAAAAACCACGTTTTTCATGTGTAGCAACGGACTAAAAAGGAGAAAATAAAATACTTAAAAAAACTTTTTAAAAAACCACGTTTTTCTTGTGGACTAAAAAGTAGAAAATAACTATTTACATACATTTGATGACAAAAAACGTGGGTCGGGCAGATGGGTCGGGAAATTTGATGGTGAACGTACCCACGTTTTTTGTCATCAAATGTATGTAAATAGTTATTTTCTACTTTTTAGTCCACAAGAAAAACGTGGTTTTTTAAAAAGTTTTTTTAAGTATTTTATTTAAAACTATCCATTGGCGATTAAGACTAGATAATTGTTTATAGTTTATACCACCAAACTAGCTAGATCACTATAAGCGGTAGAGTAAGTAGCACATTTAGACTAATATGGGGGGGAGGGGGTAATGTGCCCTTGAATCAGTTTTTTTTTAAAAATGACGATGGCTTGAAATTTTAACTAGCCGCTCAATTAAATTCCATTTAATAACGAAATGAGCGGAAATTTCAAGTCAGTTCGCGATAAACCAGATCGGTAAATTACGAACTTATTTGAATCAGTTCTAGTTTCTATTGCAGTTTCCCTAAACTTTCGTAATTTAATTCGCTAAAATTCGCTAATGCGCTAAAATTGCTTGAAATCCTACATGAACTGTAAAGAAGCATCACACTAGCCTTCTAAGAACGAAATCCCGTTGTATATCGAAATCGGGGGACAGCTAAACTATGACCACTACACTGTCAATAATTTGAAGGAAAACAATGACGTCATTTTTAAAAATAGAATCATGAGATGGCGAGCGACTCATTCTAAATGACACTCTTTTTGTGACGACTTGTGACATGGAGAGAGGGCGGGGGGGGTAGAGATTGACAGACATCACGTGATGTCTGTCTGCTTAGAGTTAGGACGGAGTGGTCGAGTGGTAGAGCGCTCAACTGCTAGCCCGAAAGTCTCGAGTTCGCATCTCGGTCAAAACTTGAGACCGAACGTCCTAGAGTACATCTGGCTTGTGTTAGGGAAAGTAAAGGTGTCCTGGCACTGAGCTGATCTCGTAATTCCTGAATATGCCGAGGTCAAACATCTGCCCAATGGATTGCTAGGTAATCATATGGTAAACCTATCTGCTTAGATCATTCAAGCTTCGCACACCCCACCCGTGTTTATGGGAAATAACCCCCTCAGACTAACATTGCCAAAAAGTTTCATACAGTTTTTGAAATAATAAATCCTGCTTTAATCCAGGGCTTCCCAAGTAAGGAGTGGACAAGTTGGTTAGAGAGAGCTTTTCTTAAAAAACATGCAACGATTCTTTTAATGCAATCATCCCAGTTTTGTGTAAACTGCTTTACACTTTCAAATGTCAACGATCGAATGCAATTCGGTACCTCGGTTAAAGAACGCATCGTTTAACGAACGTTTCGGTCAACGGACGGATTACTGAGGTGCGTCGTTTTGTTAAGAATGCGAAATTTGAATCTGGTTGTGAACTTAACCTTTGTGAATCTGGTTGTGAACTTAACCTTTGACCCTAACCCTAACCAAATCTAAAAACACACAAGCTAGCAGCAAGAACATAGCCTTTAACCTTGAGTCTACCCTTATTAACCAGTCGTAACACTAAACCTATTCGTATCTAGAACTCGATCTGGTAGCGTAGCGAGGGGGGGGGGGGAATATGTCCCCGGGCGCCGACCTTAGGGGGTGCCAAAATGGGTTGGAAAATATAAATTGAAAGGTTGAGGGGGCGGAAATCGAAAGTTTGAGAGGGGGGGGGGGGGTGCAAATCGAAATCTTGAGGGGGGATGCACATCGAAAGTGTTTGAAGGGGGGGGGGGGGTGCAAATCGAAGTCTTGACGGGGAAGGGGGGTGCAAATCGAAAAGTTTGTCCCTGGGCGCCGGGAAGGGTCGCTACGCCTCTGAGGGCTGTAAAATAATTAAAACCCACAAGTTTTAAGACATAAATGAAATAATGAAAGGTGGGTGCATGGGAAGGGGGCTTTGCTTTGATAGAAATGTGTATACGTGTTTGTGGTGGTGGTGTGTGTGTGTGGAGGGGGGATATGGTTGGTTGGAGTAGGGGTAGGGGTTGGTAGATTTGCTATTGAAAAACTTGATTATCACGTTTATTTCGGTCGTACCGCAAGTGTAACTCAAGGAGTGTCTGCCATTTCTAGAAAAAAAAAACATTCATACCAAAATTAAACAAATGCCACGTCAAACTAATCAATACAACTGTTCGATATCTATAAGTTATTTATACCGCTTGTCGTAGAAATCCAAGCTGACGTTAGATGTAACGAAAGTTATTTCTGTGTTACAAAAATAAAAGCACGTAGGTACGAGTAAATATTTAGATTTTATTTTTTAGTTTCCAGTTTTAGCTGAAAGAGAAAAAATTTCTGAGAAATATGAACTCAATGTTGATCACGGTGGAAATAATTTTTTTTATGGCATGCTGAAAAATGTCTCAATTGCAGTGTTGGGTGGTGTGTGGTATGGTGCAGTGTGATGGTACAGTATGGTATGGTGCAGTGTGGTATTGTGTAGTGTGGGATGGTGTAGTGTGGGATGGTGTAGTGTGGTATGGTGTAGTGTGGGATGGTGTAGTGTGGGGTGGTGTAGTGTGGGGTGGTGTAGTGTGGGGTGGTGTAGTGTGGGATGGTGTAGTGTGGTATGGTGTAGTGTGGGATTGTGTAGTTTGGGATGGTGTAGTGTGGTGTGGTGTAGTGTGGTATGGTGTAGTGTGGGGTGGTGTAGTGTGGTATTGTGTAGTGTGGTATGGTGTAGTGTGGGGTGGTGTAGTGTGGGATGGTGTAGTGTGGGGTGGTGTAGTGTGGGATTGTGTAGTTTGGGATGGTGTAGTGTGGTGTGGTGTAGTGTGGTATGGTATAGTGTGGTATGGTGCAGTGTGGTATTGTGTAGTGTGGGATGGTGTAGTGTGGTATGGCGTAATGTGGTATGGTGTAGTGTGGTATGGAGTAGTGTGGGATGGTGTAATGTGGGATGGCGTAGTGTGGGATGGTGTAGTGTGGGATGGTGTAGTGTGGGATGGGATGGTGCAGTTGGTATGGTGCAGTGTTTCGTATGGCGTAGTGTGGTTTGGTGCGGAGTGTTATCGTACAGTGTGGTGCAGTGTAGCGCGGTATAGGGCATTCAATACTTTGTAATCGGTGTGTGTCGTAAAGTAAAAGTTCCCTTTTTCAACCCTGACGGTCTACAGGGCAAGTGAAGTAGTGTTCACTTGTCAAACCAACTCTGATGGGTACCTAACTCACGTTAGGGAAAGTAAAGGCGGCTGGGCATAGTGCTGACCACACTATATCTTCATATGCCGAGGTCACAGAAACAAGTGAAACAAGTGGGTGACGTAGAGAACATAAATAAACAATCCCCTACTTGGATTCCTTCCAAATTCTTTGCGCCATCTAAATAAAATTATCTAATATTTCATTCGGCTGACTTTCTAATTATAGACAATCTATAAATGGGCCTAACAGTACAACAGTCCTTGCAAATTCAGTCTGTTATACATGTTTAAAAATAATACTTTTTATATATAATACTTGTCTATTACACTTGTGTAACAAGAACCACCCCAAAATATACAAGTAACCTAAACCTAAACATACACCTAAACTTAAACCTAAACATTCCTCCAGTGTAAAACCAAAACACTTCCAACGTTTTTCTCAACAACTTTTTACCTATAATATTTGAAAATGTCGCTTTACACTTTACGTAAACTGACTGATATACAAGCCCAACCCTACCCTTGTTTAATCTTAACACGAATTTCAAATGTCATATTATCAATAACAGCTTATCCTTATCAATAACAACAGCTGTACGAATTTGTGTAACGCTAATCGATATAACAATAATACACTATTTTACAAGCGTTCTACTTCATCTACCCATTGTGTCTTGGGCACGAACGGGAAAAGATAACGACAGTGTTTCTTCCAGACTTTTTTCTCCGGGGGGCACTTGAAATTTTCGGGGGGGGGGTGGTAGACTTTCTTCGGGGGGGGGGGGGGGGGGCGGACACTGTTAAAAGTATATATTTTCTATATAAATTACATAAATTTCATTTCGTTCGGGGGGGGGGGGGGGCAGTAATTTTTTTTCGGGGGTGGGGGGGGGGGGTAATGCCCCCCCCCCACCCCCCCGAAGAGATGCCTGGAAGAAACTCTGGATAACGATCATGGTCACTAAGAAATAACTAGTAAAAAAGAATCTAATTCAGCACATAGAGAAAGTAGTACGGCAAGTTAAACAAAACAAAAATGAAATCGGAGAGAAATCTGACCCAGCTACACGCCGGTGTTTTCCTAGAATTTCGGTTTTCCCGGAAAATCTCGTGGACAATCGTGCAGCTATTTTAGGTAACAGACGACTGATATTTTCAAATAAATGTAGGCCCTATTTTTTTTTAGAACATTTAACGGATATTTTCATGGTGGGAAGTTATTTAATTTATTTTTTATTAGGCCTACTTTATCTTTGATAATTTTTTGATTCAATTAACATTATAAAATATATAAATACCATAAATTAATAAATTAAAATGAAACTTCTTCTGAATGTACTAATCGGCTGATCAATACAGTTCAATGAATAAATCGATCAACACACCACGGCAGATCCGAGTCAGTCTTCGATGAATGGAAATCGTTCAAGTACACACACATCAATAATTGCCCCATAGTTAAACTGTGGCAATTTTAAGCTACACGTCACCAGAAATACACAGTAGGAATTCACAGGAAAGAAATTCCCCCGATTTGTCTCCCTTATTATTTGGCTACATTTATTGCCCCTTATAAAGGCCAATATCTGAAGAGCTGTGGACAAACATACAAGTTTCAACTAGAGAATCTAAACAACATATAGGAAGTAAGTGCTTGCATTTTGTATTATTGAGACTATTTTTAGCATTACTAAGTCATCGGTTATTAATTAAATTAAACAAAACAATAACTCTAAGCCTTATCCGTATTCGAAACACAAGGAAATATTTCGGATAAAACTTCTGTTTTTTGAATACACTAGTTTTGATTTTTGCATTTTGTACGGTTAAAAATAGTAGCCAATTGTTACTTCACGATCTAGAATTTGAATATAAAATTACTGTAATTTCTCTTATCGAAGAAAATACTCAAATGGTGTTTTAGACTTAGGTTTGGTAAATTATGGAATAAACAATATGGAAAGAAATATTTCATAGGGAAGAATAAATCTCCAAATGTACACCTTTACTTAAGCCAGGCAACAATACAGACATCACGTTAGTAACGGACACAAAGTACTATTTACATTACTAGTAAGTTTATTCATGCAGCATATCATAAATGGTATTTCATAGCTACATTACCATACCATAATTGGAATTGTATGGCTACATTTATTATATCATATATGGTATTCCAAAGCTATATTACCATACCATAATTGGAATTGTATGGCTACATTTATTATATCATATATGGTATTCCAAAGCTATATTACCATACCATAATTGGAATTGTTTAGCTACATTTATTATATCATATATGGTATTACAAAGGTATATTACCATACCATAATTGGCATTTCATAGCTGTCTTACCATTTCATAAATAATATTCCATAGCTATATTACCATACCATAATTGGAATTTCATAGCTACATTTATTATATCATATATGATATTACACAGCTATATTAACACACCATAAATGGTATTTCATAGCTATCTTACTATTTCACAAATGGTATAGCATTTATTATATAATATTGCGTTAATGGAATACAATTTATAAAATAGTAATATAGCTATGGAATACAATTTTTGAAATGGTAATGTAGTTTTAAAATACCAATTATCGTACGGTAATGTAGCTATGAAATACCATTTATGAAATGGTAATGTAGTTAGCTACATTACTATTTTATAATTAGTATTCCATTACCACAATATTATATCATAAATGGTATTCCATAGCTAATTATCTCCCGTGTAATTGAGACTGTAGCCACAATTACAGGACCATAAACGGTATTCTAGAGCTACACTACACACAATATCTCTGATTGCACAATAACACACAACACACCATCGATTGAATTCACTCATACATGACAGAGATAGTAGCACACATAAATACACGAAGCGTGCACAGGTGCATTAGATAACACACAGGGTATGTACCAGCTGGGTTACAAAATTAGTGTGTCAATTCCTGATCTGTTTAGTTGTTTAAATAAAAGTCATAACCTAAGTCTAGTGAGATGTTCTTCCAATGTGTTTCTGTTATTTTTTGCATGGTAGTGTAACGCTAGCTTACAACATGTTGCGTTTTCGACTGTATACCAATATCTGTGTATATAGTAGTGTGTGCTCTTATGTGTATGTGTGTCAATGTCTATGATGTGCACAGTGGCGTAGCCAGGATCGTCTCAAGGGGGGGGGGGGGGGGTTCCAATTTTTACCCGGGGACAAACTTTCGATTTGCACCCCCCTCAAACTTTCGATTTGCACCCCCCCTCAAACTTTCGATTTGCACCCCCCCTCATACTTTTTATATATACCGAGGGGTCTATGGGGGGGGGGTTATGACCCCCTAACCCCCCCTGCCTACGCCACTGGATGTGCAGGTGTACTTATTTGTATCAGTATGTGTATGTGTGTATATGTATGTGTACTTATTATTTGTTAATGTGTATGTGTGTACTAAATTGCACCAGTATGTTTAATTGCGTATCTGTGTATGTATTTCTATAGTTGTGTGTGCGTGTTTTTCTCATTGTATGTGTGTATGTTACGTAACCTTATGCTATCAGTATGACATAATGTTCTGCATAACTGTAACTACCAGTGTCAGATAACGGATAAAGGATAATGGATATTTATAATCAAACAGGTGTATGAGGAAGTAAAATGTACTGTGAAATGCCGGAATGAATGTTAGGACTACATTAGGACTTGGCTTATGGTTTGGGTTAAACAGTGATTCTTAACCTAAGTTCGATCGAACCCCAGGGGTTGAGTGAGTCAATCTCACGGGTTTGGCGGAGGTCAAGATACACACCTGACTCAAAGATCAGCTATCGGATATAGTCAGTGAGAACTATTTAGGAGGGGCTCGGTGAATGCGCATATTTAAACGTGTAGGGGGAGGGATACCTCCAAAAAAATTAAAACCATTGGGTTAGAAATAAGACTAGCGTTGATCTAAAGAAGTTCATAGTTTATTACCAGTAAATGAAGTAAAGTTCCCGTTCAAACTTGACGGTCTACTGGGCAAGTGAAGTAGAGTGCACTTGTTTCTGTGACCTCGTCATATGAAGAGATAGTGTGGTCAGCACTATGCCCAGCCACCTTCACTTACCCTAACGTGAGTTAGGTACCCATCAGAGTTGGGTGGACTCCGTGACGGTCTACTTACTTGGACCCGGATTCGAACTCGAGACTTATGGGTTAGCAGTCCAGCTGTCTTCCGCTAGGCCACTTATTCCCAGTAACGTAGCACTGATTTTAAAACCTAAGATTCAATTACTGTAGCTATATCGTACACGATCGCACATTATTATAAAGCATTCTCTCATCGTTTGATGTAATCGTACATTGTTATAAAACATTCATCCATTAAAAACTTAGAAGAAAGAGGAATTATATGATGTTTACCTCCCCAGGTATGACCATGAAGGCAGGGCTACGTGTGGTGAGGGGGCCGGACTGGAAGTGGGATGACGTCGACGGGGGTGAAGGTCAAGCAGGGACAGTCGTGGACATCGGCGGTGGCGGACAGTCCACGGTGCCAGAGAAGTGCGTCACTGTGGTCTGGGACTGCGGGGCGGTCAAGAACGTCCGGGTGGGGTACCAGGGGGCGTTTGACCTGGTCGTCTTGGACAGTGCCCAGTGTGGTGAGTGCCAGGTGTTCAAACCCAGCTTAATCCATGTTTTAATCCCAGGTGCTATACCCCATTTAATCCCAGGTGCTACACCCCAGTTAACCCCAGGTGCTAATTCTCATTTAATCCCAGGTGCTATACCCCATTTAGTCCCAGGTGCTTTACCCCATTTAATCCCAGGTGCTACACCCCAGTTAACCCCAGGTGCTAATTCTCATTTAATCCCAGGTGCTATACCCCATTTAGTCCCAGGTGCTTTACCCCATTTAATCCCAGGTGCTACACCCCAGTTAACCCCAGGTGCTAATTCTCATTTAATCCCAGGTGCTATACCCCCATTTGATCAATGTTTTAATCCCAGGTGCTATACCCCATTTAGTCCCAGGTGCTATACCCCATTTAATCCCAGGTGCTACACCCCAGTTAATCCCAGATGCTAATTCTCATTTAATCCCAGGTGCTATACCCCCATTTAATCCCAGGTGCTACACCCCAGTTAACCCCAGGTGCTAATTCTCATTTAATCCCAGGTGCTATACCCCCATTTGATCAATGTTTTAATCCCAGGTGCTATACCCCATTTAGTCCCAGGTGCTATACCCCATTCAATCCCAGGTCCTATACCCCATTTAATCCATGTTTTAATCCCAGGTGTTCAAAACATGATTTAATCCTATTTTTAATTGCATGTGTCCAAAACCCCTTTTAATCGTAGTTTTAATCCTAGGTGTTCGACACATTTAATCCTAGTATTAATTCAGGGAACTACCCCCCCCCCATTAAATCCGTGTTTTAATCCCAGGTGCCACGCCCCATTTAATCCTTGATATTAATCCCAGGTGTTCGACACCTCACTTAATCCTTATTTAATCCCAGGTGTCCGACACCCCGACACCATGTGCTCTGAGTGCTTGTACTCTGGCATTGTGGGCATGAGGTGGCAGTGTACTGAGTGCCATGGTGTGAGCCTGTGTACTCAGTGCTACATGTCAGACAAGCATGAGACGGCCCACGGTTTCCGGCGCTTTGATACGGCCACGTCAGAAGGGTAGGTCAATTTTATTTAGGTCAACTTTTGTTATTATAGGTTATCTTTTTGTGTTATTATGGGTCATGCTTTTTTTGTTTGGGTCAAAGTTTATGTTGGTATTGTTGTTATTGGTCAAAGTTTTGTGTTGTTACACGTTTTTTTGTTGTTATTGGTCAGCGTTTTGTGTTGTTATTGGTCAAAGTTTTGTGTTGTTATTGGTCAAAGTTTTGTGTTGTTATTGGTCAAAGTTTTGTGTTGTTATTGGTCAAAGTTTTGTGTTGTTATTGGTCAAAGTTTTGTGTTGTTATTGGTCAAAGTTTTGTGTTGTTATTGGTCAAAGTTTTGTGTTGTTATTGGTCAAAGTTTTGTGTTGTTATTGGTCAACGTTTAGTGTTATAATGGCTCAACAATTTTTGTTGACAAAGTGCGACTTTTTATGTAACAGGTCAACGATTCTTCGGTAACAAGTCAACATTAATTATCAGTGTTCAACACGTTTTTTTTGTGTTACAGTCAACATTGCTTGTCAATGGTTAATTTTAGCATCATGAAAAAAACTTATGAAATCTTATTTTTGAATACTTGTTGATGAACTATTTACTATATACAATTGTTTAGCATTAATTAACCATTTTTATGGTCCGTGCAATACTATTTTACTAATACAACATCATTCTTGTCATAATGTAGAGTCGAGGTACCCAAGAGGAGCGAGAGTCAGAGTCAGAAGAGAGAGGCCAGTGGGATATTTGTGGGGGCCACGGTGGTCAGGGGTAGGGACTGGAGCTGGGGAGTCCAGGATGGTGAGTCAAGGAATGGTGTGATGGTGTGTCTAGATTGATTTGGTGTGTCTATATTGTATGGTGGTGTGTCTAGATTGATTTGGTGTGTCTATATTGTATGTTAGTGTGTCTAGACAGTGTGCTGGTGTGTTCAGCGTGTTAATATGTTACGTCATTGTTCCAAACAGTACAACTGTGTTCAGATGTACCACACACTGTGTCCAAAAGTGTGTTGCACGATCAACGCCTATTGGTGTGTCAGCACAGTGCTGATGTACCTGGAGAGTTTCTTTCACTGTTTTAAAATAATATCTGTCAGCGTGTTGACACATTCATAAATATGTGGAGTATATGATTTATATTTATCAATACATGTAACACGAGCCCATTTTGACATTGCGTGTATCTATATATATAATTCTCTTCTTGGAGAGCATTGGTACTGTTGAATTCGCAAATTATGAATTACTGAAAAGTAGAAAATAAAACTAAATAGCGGCATGTGATACGCCGCGGGTCGGCTTGTATATTTTATATCTACAAACAATGTAACACGAACACACTTTGACATTGCGTGTATATATTTTATATCTACACATAAATAAAACACGAACACACTTTGACGTTGCGTGTATATATTTTATATCTACACATAAATAAAACACGAACACACTTTGACGTTGCGTGTATATATTTTATATCTACACATAAATAAAACACGAACACACTTTGACGTTGCGTGTATATATTTTATATCTACACATAAATAAAACACGAACACACTTTGACGTTGCGTGTATATATTTTCTATCAACAAATAAATAAAACACGAACACACTTTGACGTTGCGTGTATATATTTTCTATCAACAAATAAATAAAAAACAAACACACTAACATTGCGTGTATATATTTTCTATCAACACAAAAATAAAACACGAACACACTTTGGCGTGTAGGTGGAGACGGAAAGGAAGGCACGGTCACAGACTTCAGCAATGGTGACGACACCCACTTCAAGTGTATGGCAAGAGTTTCTTGGACTGCCGGCTCCTCAAATGTTTACCGGATTGGTTTCAAGGCCAAGGTCGACCTAAAGTGTGTCAAGGCCGCCAGCGGTGGTAACTTCTACCGGAATCACTTGCCTGTGCTAGGTTCGTTCCTTGCTGCACTCATGTTAGATTCAGTCATGCTTGTCCCTTGTTTCAATTATGTTAGGTTTCCGTCATGCGTGTCATTTATATCAGTCATGTTAAATTTCAGCCATGTTATGAATGAGTCATATATTTTCCGTTGTTTCAGTCTATTTTTTTTTTTTACATACAGTATACACTCACGGTTTTATTATTCTAATTTTTTCATTTGCTTTTAGTATTTTTAATCTTTGAATCTATGTTTTAACTTTCTGAAAATCTTTATTCAGTATTTATAAATACTTTGTCTTCGTGTTTAATATTTTGGAATTCTATAATAGAACTGAATGGTTGAGTGTGCTGTTTTTAAGTATGTAGGCCACACACAAAGGCTATTTTTAATTAAGGAGTTTTTGTCGTTATTACACTGCATTTAAATTATTTATTGATTTAAAGCTTCCGTACCGTCGCATCTAAGTTTTTGAACCATGTATATAGATCTAGTATACGAACCAAAAAATATTTTATTTTAACTCAACTTGAAAATAAAATTTTGTACATAGCTGTCTACATAAGTCCATAAGAGTCCACTTTTCCAGCCCCACCCATCTCTCCGTACACACGCCATACATAGATGATTTCTGCTCTCTGTAGGTCGAGACAATGTGACGGAAGTGACGTCACCAGCTGACGTCAGCAGTGAGGTGGATGTAGAGGATCAGCGTGAGCAGCTGATGAGGCGGCTGTTCATGGCCAACCCGCTGCTGCAGATGATGGGAGGGGGTGTCACTTTACAGGTGAGATGAGCGGTCTTCTATAGGTACATTTAATATGTTCACTTGAGCGATATTCCGCAGGTACTTTCATATGTTCACTTGAGCGATACTCCACAGGTAATATTACATATTAAGTTGCATGTAAGGCCGAGGGGAGGTAATAGATGCACTTATAAGCTGCTCTTCTGCAAATAAGTTGCACGTCCGTACAAGAGAAGAACGTCTCTTAAAAGTACTTTGATGCAAAAGTTTTAATATTAGGAAAGTCTTCCTTGGCAAATACTTATAAAACCCACCCTCCCTTATTTGATCTTGTCTTTAAGGAGGTCATTTGCTTGGTAACTGGCCACATTTGTTTCAATGGTAATTGCACGCAATGCTATATTTTCGATTTGTTTTGAACGTTTCTTCAGCCACCTCCAGCAAACATTTTTTTCCGTGGACAAAAAGATCTCCGCGGGCCGGGTGAAAGGACCTCGAGGGCCGCATCCGGCCCGCGGGCCGTAGTTTGGAGATCCCTGTTCTAGATGCTAATATATAAATTTCGTCATCTTTATACGGAGACAGTTTCATTTGGTCAAATTTCTTTGAAACATTGTTTTATTATTATTATGCTAGATTTTACGTGTGGTCATTTTCTGAAAACGACTTTGAACTATCGAGTTAAAAAAACAAAACAAAAACATATGTTAAAATCATCTGTTGCGCCTATTCACATAGTGCACCTTTCTTGTCACCCATCTTAGTCTGATACTATTTATACTTTTATAGGAACCGGAAGTGGATCCAGAAGAAATGCTGGGGTTAAGTGTCAATGACCTGAGCTTTGGTTTCCGGGTCGTCAGAGGACCTGGCTGGAAGTACGACGACCTTGATGGAGGCGAAGGTCATTTGGGCACCGTCCGACGGGGGAAAGAGACCTTGACCTTGTTTGAACTGCCCAAGAAAACCGTCCAGGTTCTGTGGGATAACGGCACCAAGCAGGAGTGCCGGGTGGGGGAGGGTGGGGTGTTTGATCTGCTGGTGTTGGATACGGCGGCTAGAGGTGAGTGATGGGGGTGGGTGGGGGTGTGGGGGAGGGCGGGGTGGGTGGGGTGTTGGGGAGGGCGGGGTGTTTGATCTGCTGGTGCTGGATACGGCGGCTAGAGGTGAGTGATGTGGTGGGTGGGGGTGGGTGGGGGTGTGGGGGAGGGCGGGGTGCTTGATCTGTTGGTGATGGATACGGCGGCTAGAGGTGAGTGATGGGGTGGGTGGGAGGGGGGTTGTGATGACAGGGGTGGGTGGGATGTGGTTAGTGATGGCTGGGGTGGGGTGTGGTTAGTGATGGCTGGCGTGGGGTGTGGTTAGTGATGGCTGGGGTGGGGTGTGGTTAGTAGAAGCCGGGGTGGGTGGGGTGTGGTTGGTGATGACAGGAGTGGGTTGTGGTTAGTGATGGCTGGGGTGGGGTATGGCTAGTGATGACAGGGGTGGGGTGTGGCTAGTGATGACAGGGGTGGGTGGTGGTTTGAAGAAGCCGGTGTGGGTGGGGTGTGGTTAGTGATGGCTGGGGTGGGGTGTGGCTTATGATGACAGGGGTGGGGTGTGGTTAGTGATGACAGGGGTGGGGTGTAGTTAGTAATGGCCGGTGTAGGTGTGGTGTGGTTAGTAATGACATGGGTGGGGTGTGGTTAGTGAAGGCTGGAGTTGGGTGTGTCTAATAATGTTCGGGTAGTTCTTTAAACGTTGAAACAATGGTGAACTGAAATAACGATGTAATGTAAATATTGAATACTGGTTCTGATGGGAAGATGAGAAGCTCATCTAATTATTAAACGAATGGATAACTGTACTAGTAACACGACAATCTAAATGTTGTAACCACCGACAACTAAGTATGCTACAACAATGGCTGATTCATGCCTGGTACATGCTACTGATCTCATTCACCTGGCAGGTGTGAAGCAAAACTTCGAGTGCAGAGAGTGCAAGTCCAGTAAAATATTGGGCATCAGGTGGATGTGTACTGAGTGCTGTGATTTCGACCTGTGTACTGAGTGCTACATGGCAGACAAGCACGATCTGACCCATGAGTTTCTGAGGATTGACGGGCCGACGCTCAAGAGGTTGGCGGTTAATCTCTGCATTGATGTTGTTACTGTTATGTATGTTATGAGTGTGTACGTGAGCATATGTTGTTGCTTGTAAATGTACATGTACTAGTGTGTGGGCGTGTGCGTGTATGTGTAGTTTTACGTTTGTGTGTCCGCGTCTGTGTACGTGTACGTATGCGTTTGCGAGTGCTATAATGTATTTTAAATGCTCACCACAGTTACAAAGAAAAATCATTTTATTTATTTAACCTGTCAAATAACAGGCTTAAAAGAATAAAAAAACAACAACACAATACTGTTTAAATCTGAAAAAATATTGTTTTTGTTTCCCGTAACTCTTCTTGTTTTATGTTTTTTGTAATTCTTTGGTTGCTCCCCTTTAATAACTCAAGTTTCAAACGTTGCCGATTATTTAAATACAAAATTTACTTTTAGGGTACTTGTACCGAAACGGTGTGACAGCCAAGACAATAAAGTGGAAGTTAAAGGAATGTTTCTTGGTGCTAAGGTGGTTCGTGGTCAAGATTGGAAGTGGGGAGATCAAGATGGTAGGTGTGTGGGGTGTAGGGAGATGGTAGGGTGTGTGGGGGAGATCAAGATGGTAGGTGTGTGGGAAGTGGGGAGATCAAGATGGTACGTTGTGTGGGGAGATCAAGATGGTAGGGTGTGTGGTTAGAGCAAGATGGTAGGGTTATTGAGGAGATCAAGATGGTAGGGTGTGTGGTTAGAGCAAGATGGTAGGGTGTGTGGGGTGTGGGGAGATAGTAGGGTGTGTGGGGTGTGGGGAGATCAAGATGGTAGGTGTGTGGGGAGATCAAGATGGTAGGGTGTGTGGGGAGTGGGGAGATCAAGATGGTAGGTGTGTGGTTAGATCAAGATGGTAGGGTGTGTGGGGAGATCAAGATGGTAGGGTGTGTGGGGAGTGGGGAGATCAAGATGGTAGGTGTGTGGGGAGATCAAGATGGTAGGGTGTGTGGGGAGATCAAGATGGTAGGGTGTGTGGGGAGATAAAGATGGTAGGGTGTGTGGGGAGATCAAGATGGTATGGTGTGTGTGAGATCAAGATGGTAGGGTGTGTGGGAAGATTAAGATGGTAGGGTGTGTGGGGGAGATCAAGATGGTAGGGTGTGTGTAGGAGATCAAGATGGTAGGGTGTGTGGGGAATGGGGAGATCAAGATGGTAGGGTGTGTGGGGAGTGGGGAGATCATAATGGTAGGGTGTGTGGGGAGATCAAGATGGTAGGGTGTGTGGTTAGAGTAAGATGGTAGGGTGTGTGGGGAGATCAAGATGGTTGGGTGAGTGGGGAGAGCAAGATGGTAGGTTGTGTGGGGGAGATGAAGATCGTAGGGTGTGTGGGGAGTGGGGAGATCAAAATGGTAGGTTGTGTGGAGATTGGTGAGGTAGAGATAGTAGGTTCTGACGGGATATCAAGATGGTAGTGTGTGTGAGGAGATCAAGATGGTAGGATGTGTGGGGAGATCAAGATGGTAGTGTGTGTGGGGGAGATGAAGATGGTAGGGTATGTGGTTAGAGCAAGATGGTAGGGTGTGTGGGGGAGATCAAGATGGTAATGTGTGTGGGGGAGATGAAGATGGTAGTGTGTGGGGAATGAGAGACCAAGAGTTCACCTCTTGACGCTTTGGCATTCGAATTGATTTAGTGCTTTAGTGCTCAGCACTCTTCCCATGCTCTTTACCTAACTCATGCCAGGTACAGGTTAGAGCTGATTTTACTCAGGGTCTTGTAACCATCTCGTCAACCCATGTACTCTACCACTGCTCCCTATCATAATAGCATCCATTTTTCTAACCAACACAAAAAAATATCAATGACATCAATCAACTATTTTCTTCGACCAGGTGAGAGCGGGAAGCAAGGACAGGTGGTGGAGAGAAGACACTACGCCACCGACTCCTACAGGAGTGCTGTCAAGGTGCTGTGGACAGCCGGGCCGGACAGCATCTGTCGTGTCGGACACAACGGCAAGGTGGATCTCAAATGTGTGAAGCCGACTTCCGGTGGATGCTACTATAAAAGTCATCTCCAGGTTTTAGGTAGGGCTCAAGTCAACATTTGATGTTAACTCGCATTCTCAAAGACTTTTAAAGGAATGTTAACTCGCATTCTAAAGTGAACATTTGTGAGAAAGATTATTTCAAATTCTCAAGTAAAGGTTTGTGAGAAATTGTAACTTTTATTCTCAAGTAAAGATTTGTGAGAAATTGTAACTTTTATTCTACAGATTGATTTTGGAGCTATTTGGGCTGTAATTGTTAAACAATATAGCCGTGTTGTATCATCAACTACCATATTTCTACATACACATATGCACGTACCATTTGAGAATGAACGCCACATACAGAGTTTCTTCCAGGCATCTCTTGAGGGGGGCTCTGCCCCCCCCCCCCCCAGAAGAAAGTCTACCGCCCCCCCCCCCCCGAACGAAAAGGAGTTTATATAGAAAACTTATACTTTTAACAGTGTTCACCACCCCCCCCCCCTCCGGAAAATTTAGTCCGCCCCCCCCCCCCCCCTCGAAAATTTCAAGTGGCCCCCCGGAGAAAAAAGTCTGGAAGAAACACTGGCCACACATAAGATAACCTTGATATTACAACGCTCTTGTCTTACTGCTACACACTATTTACATATACGGCTACATACACGAGAGTGATGTACTATTGACACAGTCGAATGGTGGGGCGTTCGACTGCTAAACCTAAAGTATCGAGTTCGCATCCCGGGCTTGAGTCAGTATGACGTTCCTGTTCCACCCAGCTCTGATGGGTACCTAGCTCATGTTAGGGAAAGTAAAGGTAGTTAGTCAGAAGTGCTGACCACACTATCCCTTCATATGCTGAGGTCACTTAAACAGGTGAACTCTACTTCATCTTCACATGGAACGTCAGGTTCGAAGTGTATTTTACTTTTAAGATGTATGTACAATGTTTCAATGATATTATTTACACAAAGATTGTGATTCTAAGTACAAGAAAGTCGTTTTGTATCATCAACTACCATATTTCCATATACACAAAGATTGTGATTCTAAATACCATATAGCCGTGACGCTATACACCAAACACCTGTCTCCACAGGTAAAAAGACTGAGCCCTATTTTAAAAAAGGGGACAAGGTCAAGTGTTTCAGGAACCTGGAGAATCTGCTTCGGCTACAGGACAAGAGGTTTAAGTGGATGGATAGCGCTGCCAAGGTTAGATCAGTTTAACTTTATGGCTTCTCCACACATTAGTGTACATCGTGATGGACAGCGCAGCTAAGGTTAGATCAGTTTAACTTTATGGTTTCTCCACACATTAGAGTACATCGTGATGAATAGGGCTGGTAAGGTTAGATCAGTTTAACTTTATGGTTTCTCCACAAATTGGTGTACATCGTGATGAATAGGGCTGGTAAGTAGGTCACCAATCGGTTATACGGCTCAATAAAACCTGCGAAAGCTGGTTGGTGACCTACTTACCAGCCCTATTGGTAACAAGTGGAAATTGATCAGCAGCGATCGACCGATAAACGGTTTGAATTGGCTTTAAAAAGTATCTTTTATCTAGACGACTTGCTATGTGTGTCCGGGTACCTCATAACGGAATTGTATTGATTTCTCTACCACGTTTAGTATCTAGATCGTGTAGGGACGGTCAAGTCAGTGTCCCGGAGCGGTGACGTCACGGTGGTGTTTGACGAATCGGACACGCAAGAATTCAATCCTGACACAATCATTAAGGTACACGCAATGTTGGTGTTTAAATAACATAACACAATCATTAAGGTACAATCTATGTTGGTGGTTCAATCCTGACACAATCATTAAGGTACAAATTTTGTTGGTGTTTCATTCATATAGCACAATCATTAAGGTACAAGCATTGTTGGTGTTTGAATAACATGACACAATCATTAAGGTACAAGCATTGCTGGTGTTTGAATAACATGACACAATCATTAAGGTACAAGCAATGTTGGTGCTGTCATTCATATAACACAATCATTCATGTACAAGCAATGTTGGTGTTTGAATAATATGACACAATCATTAGGGTACAAACAATATTGGTGTTATTATTAAATCAGAGTAAAATAAAGTAACCCTAAAATAAACACCTAGAACAAAATATCAGCACATTTGTTGACTTATTGACGTGTTATATTTGCCTTAAATCTTTGATACAAATTACACCCTAACTAATATTTAATTATATAAATATATACTTTTACAAATGATTTTCTTCTAGTGACAAAATATAGTCAAATTATTTTTTAAAGTTTTTATTTCTAGTCATTAATTCTGTTTCATGGGGGTCGTCCATAAATGATGTCACACACGGTGTGTGATGAGGGGGACGGGGGACGGGGGGGGGGGGGGGTTCAGATGGTGTGACGTCACTTTTTTGCATTATAAAAAAGCAATGTTAGAAAACAAATTTTAGCCGTTATTTCACGTTTAAGAAAACGGTTTTTATAAATTGTAACAGGAATTGATCAAAATACTCTATGTTGACAGAGTTCCGACAAGATTTTGGAAAAATATCGATGTTTTAAGAAAAAATTAACAGCAATTTTGAGTGGGATTGTAGGCTGAGGTGTGACGTCATTTTAGGGGGGTGGTTTGGCTTTTTGTGACGACATGTGACGAAGGGGAAGGGGGGGGGGGGAAGGTAAAAACCGTCAAAAAAAGCGTGACGTCATTTATGGATGACCCCATGCTCATTCACTCTGCCCTGTCCAAGTGTAGCGAAAATACTAATCAAATAAATATGTATTGACTTTACATTTTCACATTAAGCTTGATTAAATCCCCCTCCTCATAAAGAGCTCAATTTATTTTCAGCCAACCATAAACAGTTTACGTTTAGATTTTATATTTATAACAGTATACCTCGAATCTGTGTATACATTTACTCAACAGCTCAAGTTCACCAGCCATGAGGTCAAAGTTCAAATGGACAGCCCGGTTGTACAGGAGGCGCTGAAGCAGAACGTGCCCAGACTGGCCTTGGAAAAGGTCATAGAGCACAACCTCGCTTTCGGGGCGGGGGACTTCACCACGGTGGAGGAGCTAAAACAAGCCGTGGAGAACCTCAAAGCCAGAACCGCTAAAGGCACCAACGGTACCGCTGCAGCTTCGCAAGCGGGTGCGGACGCTGAGAAGGGCGACGCGGCCGGACCCGAGGGCCAGAACTTGTGTAAAGTCTGCTTGGCCGAGAAGTGTTCCGTTGCTTTTGTTCCGTGCGGGCATATTGTTTGCTGCCCGGGCTGCGCGGAGACGCTGACGTCATGCCCGGTCTGCCGTGCGATGATACAGATAAGACTACGGACTTACGTCCCTTAGATAGTACTGTTCAAAAATTATTTCTGACTTATGTCCCTTAGATTCTACTGCTCACACATTATTACTGACTTATGTCCCTTAGTTCGACTGGTCCTAATTTTTTTAGCTACATTTAATACGCCAAAAAAAAAAAAAACAAACAAAAATCAATGTTGACCAATCATTTGAAATTACACAACTTTTATAACTCAGTATTTCAATAAAAATTTAACTCGTAAACCAGCTTAAAATATCAGGTACTGCAAATCATAATAATAATATCATGACTAATGCAGTATAATTGATGTATTTCTAAACCTATAGGTGTGGGTGTGGGTAGGGGGGTCGTGCAGGGTGTAACAATATCAGCAGTAATTATTCTATGTGAATATGAGGGTAGAGTATTAGGCAGAGACTTTAAAAACCAACACACAAAAATGGGTCTCGTCCGGGATTTGAACCCGGGACCTCTCGCACCCGAAGCAAGAATCATACGCCTAGACCAACGAGCCAGGTTTTGTTATGTATTTATTTTCTCATTAAAAATGCGAGAGAAAATATTCATCACGTTTAGCAATTATTTTCTTCTTTGTTCTCATAAATTTGGCAGTTATAGTTTTATATTTTTTTCTCTCATAAATTTGGCATATTTTTTATAATGTATTAATTGAATTTCAATGTAATAAATGCTCCAAATGTGATATTAGGCCAAATTATACTTGATATTACATTCAATCGCTTTTAATTTATTATTTTATAGAAACATTGTTTTAATTATTTTTATTACGGAACAATTTTTATGGTACTTACTGTAAGATGTCAATTGTATCAGAACATTCAATTAATAAAACATTCTTAAAACATATTCTTAAGAAGTTTGCAAGTAAACTTTAAAAACCCTCTGTGTATGGGTCGGTGTGTGGGTCTGTGTATGGGTCTCCGCATTAATGTCTTCTGTGGGTCAGCTCGTGAATCATTGCCTCTGGCCCATAAATGTGTTGAAACCTAGGGGCCGATGCATACAATTTTCTTCGACCAATAAACGTTGAAAAAAAAACAACTAACCCTAACCCTAATCACCTTCATAAGATAGATGAGGTAAATATGACTTTCAACTTGGTGGACCATGGCGTAAGTGAAGTAGAGTTCATCAGTTTTTTTTTTACCTTGGCATATGATTATGTATTGTGGTCTGCACTAAGTCAATCCGCTTTATCTTCCCTGAAGCGAATTATGTGCCTTAAGAGCTGGGTGGACTCATGGGCGTTCAACTCGAGACTTTCAGGTAAGCAGTCGTATGCCCTAACATCTGACCACGCCATCCAGATAAAAGGCATCACTATTCCAGCATCTCTGGCTTTGCAGAGGCGTAGCGAGGGGGGGGGGGGGCATATGTCCCCGGGCGCCGACCTTAGGGGGGCGCCAAATTGAAAGTTTCAGGGGGGTGGGGGTGCAAATGAAAAGTTCGAGGGGGGGGGGGGGGTGCAAATCGAAAAGTTTGTCCCCGGGCGCCGGGTAGGGTCGATACGCCTCTGTGGCTTTGTAGCAGCGCAATGTCTAGATATAGCTACTGATTCAGGAGAATATGTTTCACATTATGAAGTGAATAAAATATAATTTAAAAGTAAATTGATTTTGTTGTTTCAGTTGTTGTAAATAATTGTCTATCACTTTAGTCTAGTAAGTCTCGAGTTCCAATACGGTTCAAGTCAGTAGACCGTCTCTGAGTCCACTCAGCTCTGATGGGTACCTAACTCACGATAGGAAAAGTAAGGGCGGCTGGGCATAGTAGTGAACACACTATCCTATCATATGCCGAGGTCACAGAAGCAGCTGAACTCAACTTCACTTGCGTCAGGTTTGGATAGATGACATTACTTATTTACTTTTATTTAGTCTATTAACCCATAATTGCATGAAGTCCTTTATTTAAATTGTAATTTTAATTTCTAATTAGCACATAAACAACAAATTACAAATTTAATTGAATCAATAATTGTATTTACATTACAAATATAATTATTCACTCCTATAAAATACAAGCAACATTTCAATCGTTCTAATCTTTCTCTTGTATTTCACTGAACTAATTCATTCATTGAAGAGAGAATCTGAATGTAAACTTCTCTCACGCAACTCTTTCGAGGGCGAGCCTAAAAACAGCAGCTGAAACCAATACATAATACATTTAATGTACATTAGTAATGAGAATGTATTTTATGTTTAACTTTATATATATATATATATATATATATATATATATATATATATATATATATATATATATATATATATATATATACGATTTAACATTTATGTGTATATATAGCACACTGACCCCAAAATACCATCACACTTACCACAAGATACCATCACACTGACCACAAACCTATCATCACACTGCCCATAAACCTACCAGCACATTTACCATAAACCTATCATCACACTGCCCATAAACCTACCAGCACATTTACCATAAACCTATCATCACACTGCCCATAAACCTACCAGCACATTTACCATAAACCTACCATCACACTGCCCATAAACCTACCAGCACACTGACCATAAACCTACCAGCACACTTACCATAAATCTACCATCACACTGCCCACAAACCTACCATCACATTGACCACAAACCTACCATCACACTGACTCCAACCTACCATCACACTAACCCAACCTATCATCACACTGACCCCAACCTACCATCACACTGCCCATAAACCTACCATCACATTGACCACAAATCTACCATCACACTTACCATAAACCTACCATCACACTGACCATAAACCTACCATCACACTGACCACAAACCTACCTGCTCACTGACACGCTGACCATAACGGCAGTAGTTAGCGAAGTGCTCACAATTTCTACTAAGCAGGTTGTAGCTCACTGAGCCCACGCATTTCTTTGCTTTCTTCACAATTTTATCAGGACTTCTTGGCCTAAGACATTAAGACACACTTCAGTGAATTTTTTTGATTAAATATTATTCTAGCTTATATAACACTTTCAAATTTATTTTAGAAATCTGGAATACAATTTTTTTTTTGCATCTTTGCCAATCACATACATGCACAGGGTATACTATTTCACATTTTTGAAAATACATGCTATCTTATTATTGCCTGTTTTTCGATTTTTCAAAACGTATTCCTGCATTGAGTCCTTAGTTTTGCCTACTTACGTGTGCCCAGCGTCCCTATAGTTGCCTACACTTACATTGTCACAGGGTCCCTATCTTTGCCTAAATACTTGCGCCTTCCGTCCATATCTTTGCCCAAAGTTAGATGTGCCTACCGTTCCTATTGTTGCCAACACTTACGTGTGCCTTCCGTCAATATTTTTGCCTATTTACGTGTGCTTACCATCTCTATCATTGCCTACACTTACTCGTGCCTACCGTCCCTATCGTTGCCTACACTTACGTGTTCCTACCGTCCCTATTTTTGCCTAATTACGTGTGCCTACCGTCACTATCGTTGCCTACACTTACGTGTGCCTACCGTCCCTATTTTTGCCTAATTACGTGTGCCTACCGTCACTATCGTTGCCTACACTTACGTGTGCCTACCGTCACTATCGTTGCCTACACTTACGTGTGCCTACCGTCCCTATCGTTGCCTATCCTTATCTTAGAGTTGCCGGCAACTTGCAATAGGTCATCCTCTCGTATCTCACACGTCGTCTTGTCAAAAGGTCTTTCCTTGGTGATGTGGATCACCCGTAGGTTTCCTTGAGAACAAAAACATCGTCGTATTCATAAACACTAAGCAGTATACAGCATAATCGTCATATTCATATACACTAAGCAGTATACAGCATACTCTTCATATTTATACACACTCAACCGTATACAGCATAATCTTCATTTTCTCATTTTCATATACACTCAGCAGTATACAGCATAATCTTCATATTTATACACACTCAACCGTGTAAAGCATAATCTCCATTTTTATACACACTGAGCCGTGTACAGCATAAACTTAATTGTATTAAACACAATAGTAAACATCTATCTATCTATCTATCTATCTATCTATCTATCTATCTATCTATCTATCTATCTATCTATATACTACTAAAAGTCAAGTTTGTTTACATGTTTGAATATTTATTTGTTTGTTTGTTTGTTTGCCTGATTGACTATTGCTCATGGTTGCACTCATCGTGGAAAGCTGTAAAATAGTATGTAGGTAGAGAAAAATTTTTGTTTTAAGACAGACTGTTAATCACAAATTTATTTAAAGACGTTAATTAATTTATTGATTTATTCATTGTTAAATTAACCGTATTTTTTAAAAAATGTTAATACTTTGAATAAACTTTGTGGGGATAGTGACGTCCCTTGATGTGTTTACTTTTTTGGTACAATAAAAATGGCGGACTCCATCATAGACTTTGTGGCCCATTCAAAAGTTTAACGCGTTACAAAGCTAATTTTCTGCCGGCTATAACTTAAACAATACGTCCGTTTGCTGTATTTATTACGTTCCAACACTTATATAAATTTTCAACTGTCTTTTTCATTTAGTTTTACGATAAATTTCTCTAGATCTAAAGATCAGCTGTCGAAGGAAAGTTATGAAGCTAGCCTAGATCTAGATCTATTTAGATCTAGCCTAGATGTAGGTCACTAGACTCAATGTAAATTCTAGATCTAGACTTAATGTAAATTCTACATCTAGAATCTATTTCAGGCCTTAATTATTTTATATAAATCTTTGTTTGGCTAATTTAAGATAAAATTTAATTTGAAAGTTACTACTACTAGACTTAGATCTAGATCTATGCGCGGAGACTCAAAAGTATAGTATAAAAATTCACTTGTGACGTCACGAGTAAATAGCTAAGCTGGTAGCGTAGTCGGCTCTCATGCAGATGCCACGGGTTCTAGACCAATATGTCGAAGAAATTTTTTTTTTCAATTTTTTTTTTTAGATGTGAATGATAAAGTTGCCTATCTGAACTTGGCAAGATACAGGGCAGGTGAAGTAGAGTTCATCTGTTTCTTTGTCCTAAGCATATGAAAGGATAGTGTGGTCAGAGACATGCTCGGCTGGAATCGTTTTTTAAACGATAAATACATGTTGTCTGAGACTTGGCGGGACACTGGGCAGGTGAAGTAGAGTTGAGTAGGTCACATGTGACGT